TACTGCTATACAATAGCACTATCGAGCAATCTCATAGACACCGAGTAGAGTCTAGCTCTGTCCAGGTTAGGGCCGGTGATATGAATAATATGACCATATCTGCTGCTACTGTCGGTGGACGCCCTGTTCAGAGACAACCCTCAATGTGGATGGACGGAAAAGAACTTGTTGAGGATTTAATGGGTACCGTTAGACGCAATACTGCCCCGCGGAGTGGTAGTACTTCTAATCTTCCAGCGGGGAAGAGAGCTGGTCTGAGAGGCCCTGTGCTGGTGCAAATGGGTATTCACTACATGTCATTCTTGGTCTTGTTGTTTGTGGCATATCAGACCGCGTGGGCTCCCTCTATACGGTTCTATATGGTACATCTGCAAATTTGTGTTCCGGTACTTCCTTAACGTTACACTCACAGTGTCTTTTTCTAGACTCTGTTTTATTTCTTGTTGGTCTTGTTTGTAATGGAGGTTGCTCGAATGAACTTTGCCAGGAATGCCACCGCAGTATGGCCATATTACCTATCATTGGCTCCTTTTGGAGTCCTGATATTCATATCTCGGGAGGCACATCAGTTAGCCATGGTCTTGTGGTATGTGCTCGTCCTGGCATTCCGATTTTTTGTTGTTCGATCATCTGTTCCTAAATATCAATTTTGCTTAGGTACGCATCATTCCTGATTATATATTTACAATCGGGCCACGAAAAGCTGCATCTACACCTGATTCTATACTCGATATGCTTCGGAGTAGTCTATCTAGTGACCGTCTACATTATGACGACCGCCTACGTGAGCGGATGTCTCAGCTGGGCATGCGCCGTAGCTCTCACGGATCCAATAGTGATAGAATACGAATTAGTGCTGCTGGCAGCATGTGCTGTGATGGTCTTACAATTCATGTCATTGCAACATTTCATCAAGATGAATGCTGAAAAGCTGCTACAACGAGAAAACTATGTCAAATTCTTATGGCTAGCTAACGTGGACTTGAAGAAACAGTTACGGCGTGCTGAAAAGGATAAGGAAGTGGACTTAGAAGCCCCGTTATCAAGAGCTACTCAAATATTACGAGAGGTCAAGTTTAGTTTCGCTGAAGACGAGACCGTCATGCAACAATTGGATGTGATACTTGGTATACTAGCATCGGATTCGCTGTTTAGCCCACAAGTATTGCAAAAGACGGATGACGCCGATGTACATGATTGGCTAAAGGATATGTTGTTGGCTGATAACAATGATTCCGACCATGGATCCGTCAAGAATAATACAGGATCTCTCAGACATCCTTCAACCGCAGCCAGAAATAGTACGCCGCTAGCGTCACATCATCACCCACTCCATGCAGGTCACACATCACAAGTCAACATAAACAAGGATGCACTACTGGTTGCGCCCATGCTGCATATCTCTGCATCAACACCAGAAGAATCTACGAATGCATTGATTGCGGCTTTATCACGACGACCGTCAGTAACACGAGAACTGATACTGCCCAACAGCAACAGCATTGTGTTGTTTAATAGCCCTAGTTTGCAAGACCCCATCCGCTTGTCTACCTTCAACCTCCTCCCTGACTCATCACCAACATATACGCTCCTAGAAGATATCGGCAATCCAAACTTTGACATGTTTGAATTCGACAAGGCAACAAACAATCAACCACTATTCTATCTTGGTTGGCACATATTCCAAAAGCATGGATTTGGAAGCAAGCTTAATATTCCAGACGATGTCATCAAGAACTGGCTGCTTCGTATCGAAATGGGTTATAAATCAACAAACCCATATCATACCGCCGTACATGCCGCAGACGTGACTCAAGCAATGCATTATTTCGCTACAAGGGACAGGATATGGCCACATTTAACCACCGAAGAGAAATTCGCTGCTGTCGTAGCACCAATTATTCACGACTACAACCATCCTGGTGTCAATAATGCCTTCTTGGTTGCCACTGCAAATCCTTTAGCATTACGATACAATGATCAATGTATACTGGAGCATTACCATTCTGCAAGTGTATTTGAAATCATGGCCAACTATAAGGAATGTGATATATTCTGTGGGCTGAGTCCAGAAGGTAGAAAGAGTGTGAGAGAAATGATTGTGTCGATGGTGCTGGCTACAGATATGTCTCAGCATTTCGATTTGGTTGGAAAGTTCAAGACAAAGCTGAATTCTACAGAGGTATGTGTCAGGGAGTTCGGCGTTTTGAAATGGGGAAAAAAATTCAAACTGCGTCTGAGTGGAACACTCCAAATTCGTCTTCGTTTTCTAACCACATTTCTATCACATTCAGGGCTTCAATCTATTGCAAAAACTAGACAGAAAACTCTTACTGAATATTTCCATCAAGTGTGCTGATGTGAATAATCCTTCAAAACCATTGGCAATGTGTCGAAAATGGACAGACTTGATTATGGAAGAGTTCTTTAGACAAGGAGATGAAGAACGGAGCAGAGGTTTACCTATATCTGCGTTCATGAATCGGGAGACTACAGATATTCCGAAATGTCAAATGGTAACGTAAATGACGACAATACTTTCGTTTCACGACTTTTTTTGCTCACAACAACTTGAACCACAGGGTTTCTTGGACTACATCGTAACGCCACTATACGAAACATATGGTGGCTTTATGAAGGAAGATGTGCAACCTCATCTTGATAATCTGGCATCAAATCGGGCTTATTGGAAGGTAACGGGAAAAGGAGTCTAAAAGGATAGCCAAGCAGTTCACTTAACTCAACCTTTCTCCAATCTTCTATAGGGCCGATCCGAGAAGTTCCAACAACAACCATCCCAAGCAACAATACCGCTGTCGTCAAGTTCCCAAACGCCATCCCTCATAAATCCAACAGCATCTGCCACTACGACAAGCGCACAAGCTATATCAACAAGCTCAAGAGCAAGCTCAACCCAGAACCTACCCCTTCACTCACCGCAGTCGTCGACAGTATTGACAAGAGGTACAGTAGGAAGGAATGGTTCTTCAGATGCTGGTGCCGGTGCTTCAAGACCGACAGGTGCAATGCGAGCATCTGGTAGCTTTGCATGATTAAAAAAGCATGAACAACAATACAACTGAAGCTATGGAGGATTGGGGCTTATCATGGTGCTGCTAAGGCCATACTTTTTGTATATCTGTCTGAGAACACAAGCAAGTGAGAGAATTTCACCAAGGTTTCTCAGCAACCATTCGAATATAACATCCAATTCCTCAACTGAATGCTTCGTTTCCTGTATGATGAGTGTTTCCGCGAATACAAGTACCAGGCCTATCAGGTCAAGGAGAATGTGCATGGACATGGGTGCAACTAGTCCATGCACCGGACATGCTTGAATTGATCTTAAGCTGATTGGGGGGGGGGGGGTCATAGGGCGAAATCCAGAACCCCTCTCCTCTTCAAAATCATTACGTCTTAGTACGCGATTCCAACAAAGCAGCCCGACTATTACCAAGACCAAACTCTTCCAAAGAATGGATAGACTAAACCAACCATGGACGTCGACCACATACTGCCATTTCTATTCGGTTATTCCACTATTCGCACTTGGTGGAGTTCTGAGTATCAGCCAACTAATTGCTGCCATAACAGACAGGGCATTTTCACGAGGTCGAGGCGTGTTTCTTGTCCATTTTATTCTCGCTGATCTGGTATTTTCGCTGAATGAGACTTTGGAACGTGTTGTTATATTATTTCTCGAAAGGATCAATGGACGGCAATCAAGCCATCTGTAATTCTACTGGCGTGATTCTTGGAATGACTACAGCATGTTCGCTTCTGACGTTACTGGGAATGAGCGCTGAGAGGTATTTTGCGCTGGTAAAGGTATAGGGGTGGTTTAAGGTTGTGTGCATCTTTGGTATCATTTCTTTTGACATCTCATCTATGCTTCTTAGAATGCCCAAATGAAACAAGCACACGTTTTGGTGTATTGCCTGATATCGTGGATAGTGGGACTAGTACCCATGCTGCTTCCTTTGTGTACGTATTGCGGACTTTGCCCAATACATTATTCTTGAATGAAAATGTTTCTTTACTTACCCCTATCATCACCCAGTGCTTGGAGCTCCACCATATCCAACTCCCACTTTTTTCGTATTGCTTGCTTTGTCGTCTGGCATGAAAGAGATTCTATTCCGAGAATCTTTAACAACATCTTTACCTTCATATTCATGTAGAAGTGCAACTTTTCATCAAGTTTGCTCTTCTCGCAGGATCCACATTCACACGTTTTGCTCCATATGTGGTTCAATCAATGTACGAGTTGATTTCTGGACAGGAGGCATCCATCGAGGTCTATGGTAAAGGCAGTTCTTCGTGTCATTTGCTTCAGATGCTACACTCGTTCATTACTATTTCTTTACAAGCTTTTACTGCGTTTGGACTCGCCGCACAACCACTATGCAGTAGTCTGTTAATACTATACAGCAATGTTGGATTACGACGACGTCTATTCTCGTATCTTGGAATTCCACAACCGCAACAGCTTTCCATTGGGCAACGGCCTTCTGCTGGCCTGAAATAGAGTCATGGACGCGGGGCGCAACAGACAGGGAGTCAAGGTTTGCTTGATACCTATTGCCTCTGGATACCACGGAGTCGGGCTCAAGCTCAAAACTTGCTGATCGACCTGGGCGACAGTGTTACGATTCGCTCACCACGCTTGAGCATTACCTGACGCAGTACCCTTTTTCCATCTCGAAGTGCTTTCCCTGAGTCTGATTTGGTTACAAAATCGTGCTACTGCACGAGAATCACACAAGGCCACCGTGCAGCGTGGAAGGATTTCGCTTTTTACTCAAGCGACCATAATCAGATCTCACAATACCGATATTGAAACTTCCGGACAGCCAAAATAATATTAGTATTCATACCTCACCAAAATTTGTCATTCTTTGCTGTGTGGAGTTTTTCTTTTTGCGAGTGAACCATCCTGGTCTTCCTTTCGGCCACAAGCAAGCGGGAGAAATTGACCCAAGATCCAAGATTCCCACCAAAAATTTGAATAATAATATTGAATTCATCAACTCAAAACACACGTTCCCTGTGTGATCTGCAGTGAATAAACCCAACAGCAACGTCAATAAAAGAAAATGTGTCAGGAGATGCCTCTCTTAAAGGAGCAGACCAGTGTCAACGGGTATACTCGAACCACCTTCAAGTCGATTGGGGGTTATTTTAGAGGGGGATGCAAAACCCCCATCTCCCTAAAAAATAATCGAAATCATGAGGTTGTGCGCAATTCCGATGAACGAGAAGGTGTCTAAACAAGCCAAGGCTGGCGATGGATAGACTAACGCAACCGTGGACTTCCACAACATACTACCATTTCTATTCTGTGATGCCCGCTTTCGCTCTAGGAGGGCTTCTGAATATCAACCTGCTAATTGCCTCCATAACCGACAAGACATTTTCAAGAGGTCGTGGCATGTTTCTTGTTAACCTGATGCTTGCTGATTTGGTATTTTTGCTGTATGAGCTTTGGAACATGGCATATTATTTCTCCAAAGAATCTATGGATGGCAATCAAGCAATGTGTAATGCTAATGGCGTGTTTCTTGGCATGACTACAGCGACATCGCTTCTGACGTTACTGGGAATGAGCGCTGAGAGGTACTTCTCAGTGGTCAAGGTATAGTGATCGTTTTAACGGTTTGCGTCATCCAGCGTATATTTTCGAGCTATTTTGACGCTTAATCCATCTTCCTAGAATGCCAAAATGAAGCACATACATATATATGCTTATTGCCTGATATCGTGGATATGGGGACTAGGAATTATGCTGCTTCCGTTGTGTGCGTATCCATGACTCCATCCACACCCATGTTTCCATTGTTCTTCATTGCTTTGCTAATCTGTATATCATCATCCTAGTGCTTGGAGTTCCACCGCTTCCCACTGTCCTCCTTTCCTATTGCTTTGTACCATGGCACGCGAGGGACTCCACTCCGAGACTCGTTCAAAACCTCGTCATACTCACGTTTGTACTGGTAGTCGTTGTAAGTTTCTCGAGTGCCAAGACAAGCAGTGGAATCCCAGACATGATTACATTCTTGTTGTTTTATTTTAGAATGGAATAACCCTTGTAAACCTCAAAATCCTCTCATACATCCGAGCCAAGAAGGCAGACCTAATCAAAGTGACGAAAGAAGCAGACATCCAAAACCGAGACGGGAGGAAGAAATCGTCACTTGTATCAGCCATAACATCTCCAGAACAGTCACAGCAAGATCACCGGATTTCACTCCCCGACTCAGCTTTTGTCAAAGGGACATTCAATGTGGAAGTCCAACTATTCATCAAGTTTGCTATACTCGCAGTAGCGACTTTCATACTTTTCACTCCATATACCATTCAGTCAATGTATGAGCTGATTTCAGGACGGGAGGCTGGTATTGAATTTTATGGTAAAGAACCTTGTCGTATCCTCGCACTTATGGTATAAGTCATCTCTTAACTTGTGTTTTTTTGCCGCAGCTTTTAGTGGGTTTGGACTCGCCGCTCAACCATTGTGCAATAGTCTGATAATACTTTACAGCAACGTTGGATTACGACGACGGTTATTCTCGTTTTTTGGAATTCGAAAAACGCAACGGCTTTCAGTCGGCAGTTCACCGAAATAGGAGAATCATGGATATGACGCACAAGCTGGATCTGGGTCTGAGTTATTACCTCATTGCCTAAAACACTACGAGAACCAAGTCTCTAGATTGGGCTGAAGAGTGCCAGTCATCAGAAATCCAAGACCGAGTGTCTGATTACTACTTGGATCAGGACGTGTCTTCCCTGTATCAGCTTGACTAGTTTCGCATCAAATTCGTGCCGTGGAAAAGTAAAATACAAGACCGTCGCCGTATGGTCAGATTTTACTCTTCAGGAACGGAAAGGTCCACGCGAATTATTCAATAAAATATTGTTCACTCTTCTAACGAAATGTTTTCTTTGCGATTTCACTTTTTTTTTTGGAAAGCTTCAAGCTTACATCATTTGCGTAAAACTCGCACCATAATAATTAATCAGAGACAGTGTATAGCCCCACGAAGAAAGTATGCATCACGTATTTGAGATGAAAAGAAAATTCCAATACGATTGTCTATGATCGAGAGACATGGAAAACTTCCGTCTCAACCCGAATTTTTTAGATTGTATCCGGACGCAATCCTAAAAACTAGACCAACTGTCCTCCAACATAAGCTCTTCACGTCATGGACAGACTACATCAACCATGGGGATCAATATCGTACTACCATTTCTACTCTGTATTACCGGTCCTTGCTCTAGGTGGGCTCATCCTAATTGCTCTCCTAATCGCCTCCCTATCTGACAAATCATTCTATCGAGGCCGAGGAATCTTTCTGATCAATCTCATGCTTTCAGACTTGGTATTTGTGCTGTATGAGAGTTGGAATTTAGCGCTGTATTACTCGAAAGCATCAATGGATGGGAATCAGTTTGTTTGTAACGCAAATGCTGTTTTCATTGGGATGACGATATCGTGTAGTCTGTTTACGTTGCTAGGGATGGGAGCTGAGAGGTATTATTCAGTTGTTAAGGTGTGTTGAGGTTTTTGAACAACAGCTCGTATGTATGTACTGTAACTATACTTTGCTTTTTTTAAACATTCGGGTTTTTAGACTGCTGAAACCAATGAGATATACATCTATGCTTACTGTGTGACAGCATGGGTTTGGGGACCAGCATGTATATTGATTCCATTGTGTACGCATGGTGGCGGACTTCGTGAACATATGTCGAATTGTCAACCCTGCCTTCGCATTTTTTTTGCTCACCAAGTATATATCTCATAGTACTTGGAGTCCCACCAGTACCCTCCATACTTCTTTCTTACTGCTTCGTGCCATGGTATTCAAGAGACTCCATTCCGAGACTGGTTCAAAACCTCATAATAATCGCATTCATACTGGTTATCGTGGTAAAGTATCTCATATCCAGGAAAATGCTACATGAATACACCATAGTAACTCTTTCTTTTCGTTTCTTCTAGAACGGAATCACATTCGTAAACCTCAAAATCGTAGCCTACATACAAGCAAAAAAGACCTCTCTAATCAGAGTCAAGAGGGAGGCAGACTTGCAATACCAAAATTCAAAAAGAAAAGTAATTGTTGCATCTCCTACAACTGCTGCTGCCGGAGCATCATTCTCGGACAAGAACTCTAGAACTGAATCGACGTCAGCTTTTGCTAAGGGGGCATTCCATGTCGAGTTCCAATTGTTTATCAAGTTTGCCATATTGGCGCTTAATAGCTTCATAATTTTCTCTCCATATACGATTCAATCGCTATATGAGTTGATTTCGGGGCAAGAGGCTTCGATTGAGTTTTATGGTAAGAGGTTGGGTTGTATGTCTTGATACACTTTAGATTCCACCAACACCATCATTTTCGGTCATTAGCCTTCAGCACATTCGGACTCTGCGCACATCCGCTATGCAATGCATTGCTGATAATGTACAGCAACGTGGGATTGAGGAAACGACTTCTTTCGTTTTTCGGAATTCGACCGAAACAACCAGCAAGCTCTGTAAGTGGAGGCTCATCAGTACCAAGGTCCTTGAATAGTGGACGTGCACCGTCGGAGAAGGAATGCGTTTCGAAAGAGAGAGAAGATACACTGAAACGAAAAGAAGACACACTTTTGAGGGTTTTAGTATAAAGAGTGTTCGAAAAATAGATCTATTCCTTTCACCTTCAGTAAAAGCTTTTCTACGTGCTATAGATCCTTTGACTTTAAAGTCGGCAGTCACTCTGGACTGTATCATATTGATTATTGAATGTATCAACCCCTGCATGATCAACTTGATGCACCTAATCCTCAAAGATAATGCGAGCAAAGCAAAGGCGCATGAGAAGCCTGAACCGCGTGTTTTGATTCATCCATGAAAACCTCCGTTTCGACCGGAAGTTCAAGTCCTTTTAGGTTGACGTGTATCCGACGCAATCCTTTAACGCTACGTCAACTGCTCACCAAACCCATCGTCTTCAATAATGGATCGATTGAATCAACCATGGACATCTACGACATATTCTCACTTCTATTCTATACTACCCTCTCTCTGCCTTGGTGGCATCCTCATAATCACACTTTTGATCGCATCAATAACAGACAAATCGTTCTATCGAGGCAGAGGCATATTTCTAATAAATCTCATGCTGTCGGATCTAGTGTTTTTGCTCTATCAAGGTTGGAATATAGTCTTTTACTACTCGAAAGGTGGAATGGATGGAAATCAACTCATGTGTGATGCAAACGCTCTCGTTATTGGAATGACCATGTCGTGCTCGCTGTTTACGTTGCTGGGAATGGGATGTGAGAGGTACTATTGTGTCGTGAAGGTGTGTTGAAGATGTTTGCTCTGGAGATTTGTTTACTTGTTATCATTGTCACCTTTTGCAACGTTCATCCATTCTTCGATTTTAGACTGTCGAGACAAAACAGGTATACATCTATGTATTCTGTTTGGTAGCATGGTTTTGGGGGCCTGCGTGTATACTGATTCCATTATGTACGTAGCGTGGACTTGAGGCATAGTTGACGCATTGCTGTTTTCTTTTTTTCACCTCGTTCTAATCACTTGTAGTGCTTGGAATCCCAACAGTACCGGCACCCCTTCTTACATACTGCTTTGTGCCGTGGTACGCCCGGGATTCCATTTCTCGACTCATCCAGAATCTAGTCATTGTCATATTCCTACTAGTAGTCGTGGTAAATTTCTCTCTGGTCGAAAAAAAAAACACTCGTAAGACTCAGCTGATCAGCACTATCTGTTTAGAACGGAATCGCCCTTGTAAACCTGAAAATACTGGCGTATATACATGCCAAGAAGACATCACTTATCAAAGTCACGAAAGAAGCAGACATGCAATACTCAAAAAGAAAAGTAGTGGTCGCTGCTGGACCTTCAACGGCAGTCGCAGCATCTCAAACACCACAGCAAGACCTCCACAAGAACTCTAGAGCCGAATCGACATCAGCTTTTGCTAAGGGGGCATTCCAGGTCGAAGTGCAACTCTTCATCAAGTTTGCCATGTTGGCACTAAACAGCTTTACGCTTTTCGCGTCATATACCTTTCAATCCCTTTATGAGTTGCTTTCGGGACAGGAGGCGTCTATTGAGTTTTATGGTGAGAAAGGAAAATGTTTTGTGTTGACATGCTAGAGATTTCATTTCTTATATTTTCCTTTCATGATCATCAGCCGTCAGCATATTTGGACTCTGCGCACATCCACTGTGCAATGGATTGCTGATTCTATACAGCAACGTGGGATTGAGGAAACGACTGTTCTCCTTTTTCGGCATTCATCAATGGCAACCAACAATTTTTGTGGTTGGTGGAAGTTCAGCAATACCAACGCAGCCATGAAGTTCTGTGATTGGTGGAGGTTCTGGACGTACACAGTCGGTTACAAAATCCGGTTTCAGAGAGAAAGAAGATACCTCGAAACGGAAGGACGATACACTGAAACGAATCGTGTAGTCATACGAATATACGCATTTTTTAAATCATCAACGAATCCAACGGGAGAGTTTTAACAATGTCAATGTGCGGTTTCATCCTCCTTGGACCAGTTTATCTTTACCTGCTCTCATAATTGGGCTCGCAATTGTACGTATCGTATCAGAGTGGAGTAAAATATTATAAATTAGCCTTTAGGCTCGATCAATGGCAGCAGAGCGGTTTGTGCAATGCCAGTGCCATTTTTCTTAAGCCACTATCTTGTGTGCTCTGTTTACGTTGCTAGGAATGAGAGCTGAATGAGGTTATTGTGAACACTGATCCCAGCAGGTACACCAAATCGCGAAACTGCAATTCGTCACAGTCTTTTGAAAGTGTTTCTTGCACAAGTAATGTTGTGTGGAAATACATCTCTGTTTTTACTGCCTATATGTTTTTGCTTGTTTTACTTTAAGAAATCTCTATACATTTTAATCATCTTCTGAAGCTGCGGCCTTCTTTGCCGTTCTTTTTGTAGCCTTCGTTTCCTTCTTTGGCTCGTCTTCAGTCGACTCGCCTGTTTCGTCTTCGTCTTTTTCTTTGGAAGCCTTCGTTTCCTTCTATTTAAGAGAATTTGATGACGTGAGCAAATGTGTACCGCAACTTCTTCGACGACCAAAAAACAACCAATGGTAGACTGGTATGTACGCACCTTTGAGGGAGCAGCAGGTTCTGAACTACCACCACCGATAATCAAAAACATCAAGAGGACGGGTAATAGACCAGTAGCAATTAATCCAACAGCGACTTCAGGAGCCTCCTGGGCTGCCTTGATTGGATCTTTGGATGCGGCAACAACAAAGTCGACGACACGTTGACGAATGGTTTCAAAGATTGACGTAACTTTTCCAACAACACTTCCATCATCTACTACTGGTTTCTCATCCTTGGGTGGTTTGGGTGCTTCAGAAGCTTCGTTAGCCTTTTCGATTTTATATTTGACGTCCCAAGATTCTTTGGCCAAGGCAGCAGCATCTTCAATGGATGAGCCAACATAGATGTTGTCAAAGCTAATACCATCCTGCATCGTCCAGAGCTCAAATCCAATACCGCCAATTTTTTGGAAGTTTGCTGGGTGTAAGTCTTCGAAGTAGTTCTTGTTGGCAATCTTGCGTGGTTTCCATTCACCCTTGTAAGCTGGGTTGTCGATCTGAGGAGCACGCCATTTGCCTTTGTAGGCTAAATTACGTTTCATTGGACGTTTCCAGACACCACAACCAGAAGCCTTTTCACACTTGGGATTCGCTACAGTAGGAGCGACCCAGTCGCCATCCTCTTCGTCATCCCTAAAACGACATGGTTAGAACTGCGAAATTGTAGTCAACATGAGCAGAACCGATGATCAGATTCTGATCATTGGTCTTGCTAAAAAAACTCAAAGTCAGAAATTGTATACTGAGTAACATACCAGTCATCAGGCTTCTCGGCTTCAGGGTCAGGAATAGTCTCTGGCTCATCATCCAACCAATCTCCAGGTTTCTATGCGAAAGAAACGGCAATCAGTTTACATTCTACTGGAGAAAATAGAAAAGAATACGCAGTAAAGGTTTTGCATGACTTCATGACTTCTTACCGTGGCATCATCATCAGCGACTTCAAGAGGAGCATCTTCATCCCAATCATCAGGTTTGGTTGCATCAGGATCAGCAATCTTGGGCTCATCAATCCAGTCAGCAGGCTTCTTATCTTCAGGATCATCGATTTCTGAAAAATGAATTCGCAAGAAGTACGTGAGTACATTACGTCCACGCCGTGTGCCCTTTTTTTTGATTCCAGCTCACCTTTAGGAGGATTGACAGAGGGAGTAAAGTCCTCCAATAGAGAACCAGTCTTAACTTGTTCTTCATTGATGTTGATAAAGAAGGTATTGTTTGGATGAACAATCAAGGTGTACAAGTTGCTGAGTTTGTCCGTCTTTGATTGAGGAGGAGCGTTCATATGCTTTTCTTCGATCTCACCACTCTTGGGTGACTATTGAGGTTGGAGAATGTTAGTTTTGGTCCGTACGTTCAAACTGAGCGGAAAAAGTCTCAGAACCACGCGAAACTGGCTCACCTTGTGTCTGAAGATGAAGTGAACCTTGTTGGTGAATCCACACTTGTCTGGACCAAACACTAGAGGAGAGCACAGAGGAGCGAGTAAGCACAGATAAATCAAGTCACCATTACAAAACAAGGCTTGAAACTTACTGATAGTGTATGGAGTCGAGTCTTGGAATTTACCAGCCTCGAACTTTGGGTCATAAGTCAATAGCTTCATGTATGCGCCACCACACTCCAATCCGTTTTGTAACTTGACTTCGTATTGGATTACCAATGGTTTACCAGTTGGATCGATGGGTTTGTCGAATTTGTATGAAATGGCCTATGGGAGCAAAAAATCGTAATGAATTAAAGGAAATGATACCAAGTTGCATATAGCCTGGCAGATGTTCCTCGTTGCTCAAATGTCGTCCTTTCAAGAGATTTAATGTACATACATGATGAGCAGCAGCAGTCTTGATGACCAAGGCCTTGTCTCCTGTGATTCCAGGTAGGACGGTAGGTTCTTCTACAGCCCAGATACCTCGGTATCGTAGTAGATCATCGTCTTCTACACCATCGACGACCTTCTTTGCTTCAGAAGCAACCCATCGAGAGCTCCAGTCAGGAGCAGAGAATTGTTCAACTAGAGTACCCTTGATGGTGGTAATCTGCAACGAGGAATATGTTAGAATTATCGTTTAATAGAGAGTCAATCTCGTCTGAATGAATGATAATGCAGTTCATTGACTACTAATGTAGGTCATTATTGGGCAACACCATCATGAAAATTATTTCGAAATGTTGATGTTGTCGATCCATTGGAGTGGATAAGATTGACACTTCCAACGCACCTGGAATATGGCGGAAGGTATTTCTATAGGAGTATCATCAGCAACTGGAGCGTCATGTTCATGTTGATGGTCGCCGTGGTCGTGGCCAGCATGTCCCAACACACTCGATGTCAAAGCAAGAAGAAGGAGACCTGTACCCCTCATAATGATAATTGACTATTGAATAAATGTATAAATTTTAGTGTGTTTCGAGCCTAGCTTTCTTATAACAGGCTTCACCTTTGGTTGAGAACCAGTTCAATGTGGAGTTGAAACGAGACGATGGAAGGCATTCGAAATTTTGACATTTTTGAAGAATGCCAATCAAGGACAAAACGAGAAAGACGAAGGCAAAATAGATGCCAAGAATAAAGAATCAATGTAGGAAGTTGCTGGACATCGCATCGCGTTATAAAACAATTCGTTTGTTCTTCCATTCCAAACAGCAGACGCGTTATACCAGTATATGTCAATTCAAACCACAATTGTCTTACTTTGTTCATCTACATCATACCAATGTGCATCCATACAGGTGCTGATGCAGTCAATGAAAGCTTCCCCCTCCATAAACTCCTTTCAATTTTTTTTGCTTGAAACTTTGATGTCAACGACTACACCCCAACTCGTATAATCCAACAACAGGAGACGACGCATCCATCATCACCTACATAAATCCCATCCAGTACCATCCTCCACACATTCAATGATTGAAATTTACCAACCGACAGGATAGAATCCACAGGGGACAAGTATCGATGTGGAATCTGTTTTTAAGGTTGAGCAAGACTACCGTAGTATGTCAAGCTGCTGAATCTCTCAAGACGGGAACGAGGATCTGCTGGAAGAACTGAGCAGATACAAGATTAGTCTGATTGTTATTGTTCAAGGGAAGAAAATATCAATCAACGAAAAACATAACCAACTCCCGGAGTGGCTTTGTACCGTCAAATAATATTGTACGCCAATACGTGTCAACTGTTGTCAGCATCATATCGCACTACTCTAAACGCGTTCAAGCTCTCTCGTTTAGCACAGCAACGCACTTTTACAAACACGACTTTGTACTGTTTGCAACAGTATAACACAACGCTTCATTGAGACGAGATGAGGTTGACACTTACGTACAAATACGTTGTACGTTGTGACCTTGTCTCTTCACTCAGTCTTTCTCCCAGGCTTGTGACTGGCGTATGGCGACTTTAAAAATATATGAATGGACACAAGAAAGAGAATAGAGTCAGCATATGACATGTATGGACATGAGTATTGCAATGGCGATATGCTTTCGTGCGCCTCCAGCACGTCGTCCTCAAATATGAAAACAAAGTCAAATGTTTGTAGGCCAAATGCAAGTTCCAATACCAGGGCCATACAGCCATCAGCAATCCAGTCCAGAGAGAATTCGCTACAGCGCGTGCAGTGGAGGGCTGATTCATAGAGGAAGAGGCTAGTGAAATGAACGACCTAAATCCATATTTCCAGTTAGCGGCAGTTTGGATTTTGAGTAATTACCTGAATTATAGCACCTCGTATGTACTACAGACAGTAGACTGGGATAGCAGTGTGCAGTACCAGTCCATATTGGCCTTCGCTATGTGTCCCTGCCTCCTCTTTGTTGGAATCTCTGTCGCGAAGGATGTTACGAGTACATATATGCGGTGCTGAGAGGCGCAGGAGGTGATCGACAGTTAACGAGGAGAAGGCGTCTAAATTACAGATTCGAGCTATTGCAACTCGTTTTGATCATGTATAGACGTGTCATCCTTGTGAATTTGGAGTTTTATGTCCAAGATGGACGTGAATGACCGCACTGTTGTACTTTGTACAGACGAAGCAGGCCTTAAGTAGTAAATTGGAGCGCCCAGTCTTCCTATATTCATATTCGCACTCTGAAATTCTGAGTGAGCGGTGTGTCGTTTCCAATAACTGGCTGTAGCAGCATCCCTTGAAGAACATTCTGACTCACATGCTGCTGAGACCTTCGAGAGTACGTGACTGACACGTGCGTCTTATTGCTTACAATATTCTAACACAAGACGATCGGGTAGAAAACGTCTAGAACACCCTTTGCAGTTTCCAGTCATCAGTCTAAAAGAACTTTTCTTTAAACAACCTGCAACTTATGCAAATGTTGACTGCCAGCATGTCGTCAAATGAGGTGCATAGTTTTGTACAGGCTGCTACTGCTGCGTACAGCTCCTCTCAGTTCAAGGTATGTCGTGCTCGCCTGGTTTTTGGGGGGTTTGACGAAGTTCACAACTCACACTATTTGGTCATCAGGAATCCTTCGCCTCCAATTTGAGAGCCGTCAACGCCATGCTATTGCGTCTATCCTCGACAACGTGGTCAGAGAATGGTACGATCGATTGGGCAAATTTTATGTTTTGACACATCATCTGGTGCCGCTGTGCATCAAGCCCCACTCAGACTCTTCCTTCTACTACAATAGATATTACAGCTCGGCCTGAGGATTTCAACAATTTATTTCGTATCGCCCATCAGTCTCTTACGCGTGCTGAGGAAATCATGAAAGCACGATATAACGAGCCTGCTAGAAATCTTCAAGGCCCGTCCTCAACCCTGGCTGCTCCCGATGTACATTATATCATTCCGGGTAAGAGAACATGATAACGTACCACAAAGGTGCACCTAACACCTAATGGTATGCACAAGTTGGTGCCAACGTGCATTTGTTGACATACCTCGATTGATCCGTAGAAGGCACGCCAATGATTCCCGTCTCCCCGCTTGCTCGAATACGGTCTCAGCAAACAGCTGCACTCACGGTGGCAACCGCACGATATGCTGCTGCATTGAAATTAGAGACTGCACCACCTCTTCAAACGATGAGAAGGCTTGTAGAGGATGTACGAATTGCTCAATCAAAAATTGAAGAGGTTGATGCTATATACAAGACAGTGGTGCATATGCCATGGCTAAAATTCTCACCAGAACATATAGCAACTCAAATAGCATCTATTGATACGGGTCTCTTTTCAGAGATTGTAGTTAGGACAGATCTAGTGCCGCATGCACTAGCTCCATCATCGCCGTCAGACGTAAATAATAATGGTACTTCACAACGATTAGCCTCTGTCACGGCCTTTGGTGACTTCCACGAATATTTAACCAGAGTCGCTATCGACGGTATCATATCTGCAACGCATCCAACCAACACCATTCACATGTTGATATACACTACATATTTAATGCTATACGTATACAGGGATATAAATGCTACAGTGGCACTACTGCGAGCACTAAACTCACTCATGGTGCGTCGATTACGCTCATGCTGGGATCACGTCACTCCAAAAGCCAAAGAAGCCTTGCGATTATTAAATACAGAAGCAGGGCCTAGCGTAAATCATCTTGAACTTCTACGAGATATACTGTCGCATCATTTTAAAGGTGGAGGAGTGATGTGTGCTATACCATGGATTGATCCTTTTCTAGAATCAATTCGACAAATACATGGTTCATATACCGTGCAAGCTACTGAGACTGTCGTCTTGTCGGATATTGGTGCCAGAATGCTTGAAGATGATGTACTGAGGCCCATCGAGATGTGTATGGGACTAAACAAGTGGGATAAAGATCGCGACAGTGTCAAACTAGTCTCGAATGATGAGGTGCTTGATATCAATGGTATACCATTAGAAGGAGGATTGTCATCGAATAAGCGAGCATCAGCACTTGTACGAGACGACTTGATTACCATCGGGAAGGGAGATAATACTGTTGCTCACTGGATGCTCACGCGAGTGTATTATGAGTTGGAAGATCTATTTAATGCTAGTACCAAAATTGAACCACTCGCTAGAGGTGAAGTCGTGCCCGATTTGGCCAGCAAGCGGGTGACTGTAGCCAAACGTGATGCAGCCAATAGTAGTAGCAGTAACAGTAATAGAAATGGCTCAGGAACACCAACACAACCAACTCATAATACTACTAGTAGGACGCCAGAAATACCCGATAAAGTAATTGAAGCTTCAAGCCCGAACGAACAGAAGTATAGGAAACCACCAACAGCTCCATCATCCACAATATCTTCTACAACAGACAACGATGGCAACCCAGTCTATTTGACTGTAGACGATCCAGAAAGTGGCAATGAAGGCGGTGAAACTACTCCAGATACATATTTAGGTTCTGAAGTCGGTACTGAATATGGCTCATTCCGACATGCAACAACGCCAGCACCATCACCCGATAACATGTATATGGGTCTCATGCACGCCAACATCCTCCCACAAGAGGCCGTGTCGAAACAGCTATCTCAAATACGAAATACTAGAAACCAGCAAGTCAGTAAACCACCGAGACGAGCCAGTGTGATATCCAGCCACCGTAACTCTCCTCGAATGTCGCCGAGCCCACATCCAAATGTCGGTCCCGAGATAGCTGACTACCATCTACATAATAATGACACTGATACTCAATCCGAGATGGAGGAACTTGATGGTGAAGCTGTTGACAAGGGCAAATGGGAACGGCTGCATGAACACACTGACTTGTCAGTCGAACACGAGCATGAGCTCCATATCGACCAGGATGAAGCAGCACAACTAGATAACGAGTCTGTTAGTGACGATATGCATCGCTCAGTACATTCTGAAAATGGTAGCCATCATTCAACAACTAGTAGCACCACAAGACGATTAGCTGATCGACCTGCTGGCACGAGGCTGTCGCTCGTACATCCAAATACCGGACCCGAAATAGCTGATTACCACTTCCATATGAAGGATTCCGATACGCAGTCGCTGGTTGAGGAATTGGATAACGAGAAAATGGACGATGGGAAATGGGAAAGGATGCATGAACACACGCCATTATCACTGGAGCTTCCTGTTGAGAATCTTGATGAGGAGGAGGCCGAGGCGTTGGATAGTGAGCAGGTTGATGATGAGTTGTATAAGAGGTTGAAGGATCTTAGGTCGTAGTTGAGGTAGAAAGAACAATCAATAAGCAATATATATTTTCTTTGTAAGCAAACACTAAAATAGAGAAACACATGCATTTTGAATGGAAGCTGCTTCATTTGCATTCGTCACGAGTTGAGAGCAGTTCGGCCAAATACAGACTCTCCTCGAAGCCAACAAGACTCGGCTTCTGGTATCTTTAGACCAAGGTCTCACGGCAACCAGGAAAAAGAATACAAACATGTTAGTATGAAATGCAACAAATTCTCGCATTTCCATTCTGAGTGCCAGCGGTATCCAATCCTTTTAAAATTTCTTGCCTCAAGCACCGATGATTCCAACTGCCAGTCCAGCAACTTTGGCGACTTTGTTTTGAACATCGATGCCAGCTACGTGACGGGCGTATACCCGGAATCGCTGAATTTAAATTTAAAAGTCGTAAAGCGTGTTAGCTAACCGTGTATGATACCAGAAAAATGTCACAAACACAGCAGCTTCAGTGCCGGTTGACCATACTCACCTCCTAACCCAGATACAAACAGATTTTTTTAGCGAGGAAAAAAACCAGCACAAAGGTGAAAATGGCTGACGCAAACAAGAACCTTTATTTTATCTTAAATAAACAAACGTTTTCAAATACCAGCGAAACTTTTTCTTCTATATTTTGGTCAGCAAGTCCAAAAATCCTTTAGCCACATCTCTTATAATTGTTCTGTCGGGAATACTGGCAACTGTTCCATATATTGCAGCAGACTAGGTGAGAAGATGGAACAAAAAGGTAATGTGAGTGGGGGATTCATGTCGAAACAGTTCAAGTCGTCAGTCAGCGACTGTCGACTATCCATAAATGCTCGATAGAGCTTTTTTGTCCCTGTCAACAAAATTCGTCTCCCCATTTGACAAAACACTTGTCGGAATGCAACAAAAAATAATGTTGTCATAGTATCATGCAGCTCACCTCTCCCATAGCCGACTTGGGATCCTTCTTGACAATAGCAACAGCTTCTTTTATATCAGCAATCAACTGGTCTTCATCTGTTACATATGTAGTAGACAGATGAATTCCAGAAGGCTGTTGCAAAGGCGTCAGATGCCAGTTTTTGCGAGACAATAGATCGATTATCCCAAATATAGGGAAATCGTCTTTTCCTCTGAATGCAATGACAGACATCATTGGGTCTCCAATGAGTTCCAGTTCTGGAATTCCATGAATGCTGAAGGGAAAAAAAAGGTTAACACGAGAGCGACGGATACAAAAAAATACTATTAGCAGGGTGTAATAGCGACTGGTTATTTCCAAAACACACGTATACAAGCACAAACCACTTACGCAGCTTTGAGTTTTCGAACCTTGCCAACAATCTTCCTAGTCGAGTCGACATAACCTGATTCACCGAAATGGACCATGGCAGCCCAACATGCAGCTACGAGAGCACCAGGTCGTGACCCAGCCATGGTTGGAGATGCATAGACTCCGCCTTGCCATTCCGTTGTAATGAAGTACTCATAATTCCTCAACTCCTTGGTCCTAAACATGACTACACTAGACCCTTTGGGTGCAAAACTAATAGTTGCGGGAGAACAATATGTGTGAGTGTCTTGTCGCTGCTAAATGGCGATGGAAGGCCAAACGAAGCATTCCGCGGCTACCATATATACCCTCGAATCGCGATCTCAGAGTCTCAATACATGGTAGTCGTACTCTTCAACTTACCCATATTTATGCGTATCACAAGAAATAGACGTAACACCTTCATTTCTGAAATCAAATACATCTGGATATGGGAACCCAGCTTTATCCACAAACGGAACAATAAATCCACCAAGACATGCATCGACATGTAAAGGAATACGATATCGAAGAGCGAGTTTCGATAATGCTGGTATATCGTCCACAATTCCATGAGGATAATTGGGACATGATCCAACAAGAAGTACAGTGTTGCGATTGATGGCAGCTCGTACTTTTTTGAGGTTGACTTTGAATGTAACAGGGTCGACAGGGATTTTGATCATTTGGATTTTGAAGTATTGGGCGGCCTTGTCGAATGCCGGGTGGACTGTTTCAGGTACGACCCTATGTGGAAATACATACTGAGCTTTCTGTTCTGCTCTCGCTTGAAAAGTGACTTTTCAATTACGTACATGTTTGGAGTGGTAATTCCCTTCTTGGCCTCCATGAAATCCCTGGCAGCCTTAACCGCCATCAAGATGGATTCGGTACCTCCTGACGTAATGTTTCCACCAGCATCTTCTGGGGCATTATACATTGACAAGACCATCTGAATTACTTCAGACTCCATTTTACGAACACCTGGAAACATTTCTGGATGTAGAGGCTAATTGGTAGGTGGACATGAGCACAATGATACTTATGGGCTTGCATATCCTTTTTTTGGAGCAAAACGCAGGCCAAAAAATAAAAAAGAACATGAATTAATTGTGACAATGCAATATATGTACTCACGTTGGATAGAATGTTCATGTGGTATGCTTCCGTCAAGAGCGCATTTAATTCAGCGCCACCATGATATACAGCACCAGACACTTTGCCGTCCTTGAAGTCGACGTGACTCAGCTTCTGGTATCTACAGGAAAGTAGACTTGAGCCCGCCTAGTTCACCCAGCAAAAAACCTATTTCTGAAACTCAGTATATGTCACGTACTTTTGCATTTCCATTCTGAGGGAAGCAGTATCCAATCCTTTAGCAGGTAGCTTTGTGTATTTCTTGTCCCTGGCACCAATGATGATGCCTTTTTCCATTCCAGCGACTGATTTGGCGACTTCTTTCTGGACTTGAGCGTCTATTCCTGGTACGTAGCGACGTACCCCGAGAATGAGTGACTAAGAGAGGAGTAAGTGGTTGTTAAATTGAGCGTGTAATATGGATAATATGTCGACAGACACGTAAAAGGACATGATGCTTAAATGTCAACTCAAATCAGATGTCCCACATACTTGGAGGAGAGATCGGAATGCCTTGCGTATGTCGCCTCTGAAGAAGACGACTTTAAACATCAATCCGATGACGGACGTCGAGTAGTAATAGACGGCGTAGGCCAATAGCACATTCTTGATCGTCTCGACATGTTTTGACTGCAAGATGTGCAGTATGCGATCAATGGGATCGTGGTGGTGGTCTGTCATGGTTGCTTATGATCTACGTTATATGCTACCGAATACGCAAGTTTGATTTAATATACAGCTTCTTGCCGTTATGTTTTGTTGTTTTACAAACAGTGGAATAAAACATTTCGACCGAGACGGCAACGCATCTCTTAACGTGTACTATATCTAGATTTCTTGCTAAATACTCCAAATATTGTAAACGTATTCTTGGTCTGACGTGATGGGTTTTGGTTTCTATCCACTTTTCGAAACACAAGTTAGTCAACATGCATAGTGAGCAAGTCTCTGAGTAACGGACCAGATGCGAACAGAGAAGTGAGATCGTCGTGTTGTTGACTATCTTTTGTTTGAGTTTCAACGACTGCACAATTTGCGTGGTGACCCTCCGCATACTTAAACTGTGATCCGTGATAGTGTCTCGTTTTGCGTGTGTGAAAGTGTCTGTGTTGTGCAAATGCGACGCGATGGTTCGAACGAACCCCCGTCGGCCCACTTTTGTTTAGTTGTGTCTGTCTCTGACTACAGACAGAATCCGCGCTGATACTCCACCTCACACAGTTCAAAATGGGCGTGTGACAGCTTCGGACACTCATCGCTCTCGTCAGCACACTTTCGCCAACCGCATGTACACTGTTAGATGACAAAATGAGTAGGAACGTCTACGACGATATGGGGAATCTGTTTTCCACCATCCAGGATAATCCGAAACCGGATCAATCTGTGATATCGCTTGTCACCGGCTCCATTCTGTCAAAGCATCGAGTTTGATTATTGGTGCGTCAGTTTATCTCATCCCATCTCAATAGATCTCCATATATCCACTGTCTGGAAGTGAACTCATGGCGCATCTGCCGCAAAACGTTAATTCTGGCGTAGTTTGACAGGCGTCAGTTTCACTCGAGTTCAAAAAGTGTTGCAGAGAAGCCATCATGCACTGAACGAGACAAATCTCTTGTTTACATCGCCAAAGGCTGTGTTAACTGATGTGCTTCTGATCAGAAAGCAAGACAAACGATGGACGTGTCAAAATGTCCACCCACGTGTGCCTGTCAAAGTGAAACACGAACGTCATCCCTCCACAGTTTCCTCACCCAGCTGAATCAGTATCAAGCTACAGAGAGCATTGAAAGATCCAAAACAGCTCAAAATGAAGCTCATTGCTTTATCGATTGTAGCTCTTGCTGCAACGCTATCCTGTCTCCCATTCTCGCCGTTGGGCCTTTAGCTGTCAAGCACACATTGGTCCGTCGGGCAGACAAGGGAGACAAACCGCAAATTAGTGATAATAACCCAGCAGACGGAAGTGATAAAGTAGCACCAGTTGCACCAGCACCCGGTAGAGGACGACGAACATTTCGTCAACCCTGAGTTAAGACTGCTCCACCCTCGATGTAAGCAAGTTTTTACCCTTCATGTGGGGAGTTCCAGCTTAGAGTTTTGGTTCCCTCACTCAAGCAGCCTTTCTTTTAGTCCTCAACCAGCTCAAAATGACAATGAAAAGGGGAAGGAAGTCACCACTCAAGAGGGGAAATCCTTGATAGCTGTCAAACAGGCCCCTCAACAGGCTGCTAGTAGTGCAAGCTCCCAACCTGTATATAATATTTTACGCACTGCTGCATCTCATGGTCAATTAGAAGCCTCCAGTGTTATGAATCGACTAAGCAGTGCACAGGGTCACGCTATGAGTAATGTCGAAGCTCAGCTTATGACAGCTGCAGCTCATTCCGTTGCTACCGAGCTTCATGACGGTGGCGCTCGTCAGATTGGTGTAATGAGCCCCTCAGATCAAAAAATTGAATATCTCTCTACTGATATCGACCGCCTGAAGGTCTTGGCAGCTGGGTCTTCTCAGGGACAAGTGAATGAAGAGTTAAAAGTCGTTACTGATGGCTCCGGTACTTCTGAGGGTTTCAAAAGGTAAATGCAGAAGGATGAGTCACTTTAGTGAAAAAATCATTCTTTGACTTGACAAATTCCAGCATATTGCTGATGACAGTAGAATCAAGGAAACACACGACCGGTCTAGATTTGAAATCAGTGTTGGAGGAGCAGTTGATCTTCCTGCTGCTTTGGAGCGCCATGGTACAGATCCACTCGCTCTTTCTAGGCTTGCGAGTCATACTGGTGAAACTCATAGTCACTCGGGGCTGGAAAGTCATGTTGGGACACTTGGTCATGCTACATTCGAAGGTCCACATAATGACCGACTTGGCAGTCCCGAAAACAGAGACAATCGGGATGCTCAACAAAGATATTTGACAGATAAATGATGTATTTGGTAAATGCTTGACAACTTGTAAAAGAGTCTTCCACAATATAGAGCAAAAATAGACAAATCACTCTTTTTGGGCTGATTCACTGCCGTGCTTTCCAATGTGGGCTATTTTGACTTGGCTATGTGCGAAGGCGATTCGTCGCAGTCGTGTGCCTTTGAGGGAGTGACCTTGATGAATACATCAAAAAAATCATCCATTGTAGGATGACTAGAGTAGTTGGCGCGAAAGCGTTTCTTAGCCAAAAGAATCTTTAGTCCAACTCAAGCGTTGAGCGAACCCGCGAAAGTATGAGCCGGTTCACTCCTCTCGGTTTCGTCGGCGAAAGACGAGATATTTTGCGAAAGTAGTCATCACAGACAACAAGTGGCCTCACTTCAGCATTGACAACCGTAGCATGTTGACGCAAGTTCCTAACAGATATCGTTTGACGACGAATTGAAGGGACTCAAGCCATTGAGTGTGGGTAGTTCATTCTTCGATCGCTTCTTAGGGAGCGTGTGCAGCGAATTCTACGGTCTCCCCGAGTCCAGCATTGATTGTTAAGCGATAGCTGGGTAATCCGACAAAGGCTTCCTCTGAGATTTGCCATTCTCACATCTCACAGCGCTAATCGACGGGACGGCGAGAGAGTTGAAAACTCCCTCCAATATGAGCAAGATATCTACCAAATAGTAACTTCCTTTCATGTTGAATGAGCTCAACATTGATTCGATAGAGGCATGATATGGTATGTGCCGTCGACCATTGGTCATACATGATAGAAAGGCACATGGGTCCGATTTCTATACAGGTCTAGAGTAATTGCATTGACTTAGAGTGGTGGAGGCAAATTGCGTCTATTCAACAGTGACGAGGCTGAACTGGCACCTTCTCGACGAAAGGAATCTAGTAGAGTGACAGAGTGAGTATATAATTCAGAGCAATCTATGCAGATTATTAGCAATATGACGACCTTCTGGCGAATTCGAAGTAGTAATTTGCACCAGTAAGCTTGAACTGTCGGAGCAAGAGCATTTTAGCATTCCCAAAACCTTGGTTCAAGCCTATAGGCAACAAGTAGACTTACTTGAGGACAATCCCTTTATATCATGATCCATTGGTACCCAAGAAACCAATAAAGTTTCGACTCCAACAAATAACACATTTCCAGCAAATTTCTACCATCCAATGTTATCGACCATCTATCGCTTTCTTACGTGGTTTGAAAACTCATAAATTCCAGTATCGTATCCTTCACGTGCCTCTGTGCCTGAGTCTTGTCCAGATCGTCCTTATTAACACACATTCGTCAAACCCATTTGGAATGAAGTACGCTTCTGGATGAGAAGATGAGTAGAGACGTCTACGAGGATATTGGGAGCCTGATCTCCACTATCCAGGACAATCCAGAACTGGATCAATCTGCTATATCCCTACTCACCGGCTCCATCCTATCAAAGTATCGTTTTTTAATGTTTGAATGGTTATCACAATTTGTCTCATCCCATCCTACAAATCTCAATAGATCTCGCACATATTCACTAGATGGAAGTACATTCATAAACCATCTACCGCAAAACGTTAATGTCTTGGCCTCTCTGTTGCTGGATAAACCAACATCAAACTCAGTACGAAAAGTTAATTCACATGATGCCCCGCTCTCACCGCACGCACACTACTCTATTTAACACGCATTTATCAATTATAGACGTCTCGAAACGTACTGCAGATATTCTGTCAATGGATCTGCAATCGACAATACCACAATCACAGAGTGCCATGGTTTGATATAACCAAACCAGATACAAGTGATGCAAATCCAATTGCTGGTAGTGCTGGTGGCACATCTGAATCTAGTCGCATGATTGCTGAAATCATGCTGAATCGAAACTTGAATCTGTTGCCGAGAATGTTCAAAATCAAGCCCCAATCTATGGATACCATGGAAGGCTGTCTGGACATCATAATCTGTCTGTTACGAACAAGTGCTGAAACCAGTATACCCTTATTGAGAAGTATAGATCTCGTTAACGGAAGGTAGACAAAACGGAAAGCAGGACAAAAAACGCATACAAAAGCCCTTCTCGCGCTTTTGCCAATCCCGAATTTTAATTCCAAATAGGTCTCTAGTACAAGAGATCCAACGTTGGACAGAAACTTGGTCATTAGAAATGAAACCAAACATACAGACTCTACTATTGCTATCCAAATCACTTGCTGTATCTGAATGTCTCATCAAAAGGTATGATTCGTCTTAGTGCACATTTTTTCCGCCTCGTTGCATACTTCAACAAAGCTCAGCCTTTTCAAATTACCACATCTTAGGACGGCTGACAAAGTATCCTTCATTACGAAGATCCTTGCTCATCTCTTGGGCTGGAATATAGGAAAAGATCTCGATAGCAGGACGATTGATGGAACTGTTGAGCATGTTCAACATGTTGATATTTTGGTTACAGATATGATTAAATACGTTATGCTAAGGTGAAGAAAAAGCAGTGACAATGACAAACGTGGAGTCTATTCAAAAGTGGCCCACCAACTCACCCGGCTGTCTTGTAGGAGTGATACAGTTGGTTACTCTGTAATATCGGGGTTCATCGACACAGCACTCTCATTCTTTGTTCGTCTGAAAGCCAAGGTATGCAAAAAAACCCGTTGTTTATACAAATCTGGAATACCAGTTGCAACTGTTACAATCATTTCCATTTTCTTCGCTCACGTTCACACATTGCGTAGTGCTCGGAAATAGTCTCACCAGAATTACCAATCCAATTATCTCTACCGAACAACGTCAAACCAATGCTACTGCTACTAGAAAACTGTCTCACGGCATTCATACTGGATCGGTATCTAGATAAACTGTTTTCGCATGCTTTGAATCTATGGAGGAAGCTTCTACCGTCTGTATCTGACGCTGGTTTATTTTCATTGCCTCAACCTTCAACGTCTGCAGAGGATCAAGTAGTCGACGGCCCAACAATATCCATCAAAAACACCACAGAGCTAGCCTTCTTCTCCGTCTTCCTTTTACGAATGTTGACTAAACGTGAAATGATGAGACCGTTCAATCAGCAGCTGTCACCTATGGAGAAACCTAGTCTCCGCTTTGCTCAATTTATAATCTCATCATCGAATACAATAACAGAAGACCGACCAATTTTAATGTCAACACGAATACAAGCCCGTGAATATCTACTTGTGAGTGCTCGACGACCGTCACATTGGAAGATGCTTGTGACGGGAGAGAGTGTGACTTGTTTGGATGAGATATTAGATATAATTGTTGGTGCTCTTAAAGAATTTGAGCAGCCATCTAGTAATACTAGTAGTATGGGAAGGCCACGAACTGCGGCTGTTACTTCATCTCACTCGCAGTCACAGTTACAAGAGATCGGAGCCACAAGACCAGCATCTGGAGATCGAATGGTAGTAGTGGTTGGACGATGGAAGTTTGACCGGGATTGTGAGATTAGGAATTTCTTGAAAAAAGGTACGTACGTGAGATGCAATGGGCAATGAAAGTCGTGGCACTGCACTTTCGATTGTGTTTTTTTTTGCCACAGTTGCACTTTTATTTCACCAAAAAACACTCACAATTACCTCTCTTCACCAGATGCATCTAGCATGTTATCACGCCTCTCATCAACATCTCCAAAAACAGACATCATGATGGAATGCATAGATCTTTTGTCATCACTAACATTCAGTCGACGACCATCTGTAATGAGAACAGTTGCACACGCACAACCAACGGCAGCACGGCCAAGTAGATTAAGGCCCGTCATGCTCGCATCTGCATCAGTTGCTGCTGAGCCGGCAGATACATGGACTCATCATTCCATACTGCCACAAGTTGGTGGGAGGGCTGTTAGAGAGGTTTAAAATACATGAGAAATTCAGTCATTAGTTTTTTTCGTGTGGTAAACTCGGGTCGCAGCCTGGTTATAAATATTCAATTTCAATATTATACTGCACTCAGATCGAAACGCCAATTCAAACGTTAAGGATTGCCAGCAACAAAGGGTCTGTTGTACCGAGATCAAGCATCCATTTAAAAAACCTGTACAAAATTCTTGTTTCTTAAAACTCACTAAACATTGCACCGAAACAGGGCAACCAGCTCACTTGAGCTCAAGAGTAAACAGTGCAAAGTATCCCATGGACGTCGAACAACGATTTTACGAATGGTATGCATGTGGTGATTATATGGAAGTGTCCCACGGCTTTGGTTTTAGCTGGATGAGATCGACTCAAACAACGATTGAAGAGAGTACGGCGTTACGAATTCACGCCAGAATTGTGCATCCTAGTAAGACGGAAGGTAAATATTCGTGATGTCTCGCGATAAATAGGCTTCAACCATCAACTCACGAGTTTCCCTCTATGCAAGACCAAGTTCTGACGTTCGTAATACTCGCGGGAATAACATGATATGAGAAATCCCGTTCCACACAAGAGCATACACCACACTATTGATTTGAAACGAAGTCAGTTGCTTGTTCGTGTCGGGTTTGAAAACACTGATCCTTACCAAATATGTTTTGACCCTTGACCTGTCATGAGAAAGGAAGAGAACGTCAATTAACGTCACAGTTCAATGATAAACTGCCGACGAAACTTCAAGAACACATGTACAGTCACTAAGCTTGAAAGAACATTTTCGAAAAACCCACTACTCACATTCTTGTCTCCTCGATGAAGGTGCGTAAAGAGTAATCCTGGTCCTCCAAACATCACCAAGAGCATTGGATAGAAGAAGCGAAATCCAACAGCGAGTATGTACTCATGGACGACGGCCGAAGCTTCTATAACAAAGAGAGCAGCCAGAGCTCTAGAAGCAGATTTGGAGAATTTGCACTTCTCCAAGAATGCCACACTATCTAGATATGCGTATTCATACAAGAAGTCGTAAACGACACCTGAAAAATTACAGGCCCATCAATACTATGCTTTTGTGCTGAATTCTCTGTAGAGTGCTCACCATTCCATTTTCTGTAGAACTCGTTGAAACTAGTACTGTTCCACCAGTCCTTGTAGAACTCTCGATCGGCAAATCTAAATACGACCAAAAACGTGAGTATGATGGAAGTATGAGAAGTAGATATCACAGAATGCATACTGCAGCAATTCAGCCCATAGATTCAACCAGCAATGTAGCAAGCCAAAGAATCCACTATGAAACAGAGTTTAATGCATGAGTAGCGACGAAGACCTGCATTCAATCGACGTTGAAGTCAGACTCACAAGATACTAAATCACAAGAATTTGATTTAGTCAAATGGTAAAAAAAAACACCAACCGGATTCAAGTGAACTTACAAGACAATCATCGATGGCAACATGGCGTTGAATGCTATCGACAGGAACAGTTTCAAACTATCTTCCGAATGAGGAGCCTGGATCACTGGAAACAGGAATTTTTGAAACTAGCCGAAAAAAGAGCAACGTCAGAAATACAACCATATCCGCATTGCCGATGGTACCTACAATAACATAAAGGTACAATATAATAAACGAGCATTCAGCTCCATGCATAAACACATTCGTCCAGCGAACATACGGTGTTCTCGGATACGACGTCCTAAGAAAAAAAGGGAAGGAGAGTTTAAATGAGTTCGATACAGCATTTTGCAGTGAGCATGCCTATGCAGCGTACCTGTACAATAAAGTAGGCGAGAAGATGAAGTATATGAAGTGCGAGAACCCTGCGTCATGAGAAGGTCGTGACGAGAAATTGGATGAATGGTCTACAGTTTGCGGAGATCGTCCTTCAGGAGGACCGAGCATGTATGCTCTAAAGAATGAGTGGAGTTTCATTGACATTCTGACTTGCTCACACATGACAATCATGCCAGATGCTAAAGAAGGTGAAGCCAATTAGACAAAAAAATTGGCATTTGCTCAGCAGAAGTGACAACCACATACCTGGTCCAAGCTGATACTTTAGCACTACCCAACTAGCAAAGAGTGAAAACGCTATCTGATAAATAATATATAATGGGATCATAACCCAGAGCGGCATCGTGGAATGAGCATGCTTCCACCTATACCCCAACACAGCATACAAGAACATGACAATCCAAGCAAACATGACTATATCCAGATGACTGAACGAATACGTCAACAAGCTAAAGTTGATGGCCTGTCCCGTCTGGTAGTATTCCTGCATGCATATACTAAGGTACGAATGCAGCAGTTAATATTCGACGATGAGAAAAAAACTCTAAATTTAAAACACCACCTTATGAATAGTAATGGCAACACGGCAACGAATATATTATATATGGTTTGAAAGTCCTTGGTTTGCAGCAATTCACTTAGTCTCGACTGGCGAGAATAAAAGATCTTGCCACTTCCGAATGCTAGATGACTGCCATGGCTCCAGCGTCTTTGATGTCGTCGTTCACGCATGGTGGCGGAATCGACTCGAAAGTTTGGGTCAAAGTCGTTGACTCTGTCGGCGGCCATGCGGCGTAGCTGATTTACATCGTGAGTTACGCGATCCAGTTCACGGACGACTAGAGTGAGTGGTGAGTGATACATCAGAAGCAGAATGTTGAGAATATGTCAGAAGCAAGATTGTTCCATAACATGTCAAGAAACAGGTTGCTGAAAAAAAACAAGCGAGATCCCAACCAAGAATAGCATACCTGTAGCACGCATGGCATCGCACGAAGCGAGCAATGACTCAATCTCAGACAAGTGTTCCTTCAACCTGTCACCAAAACCAGCATGTTAGAAATGTCGTTGATCTTGTCTCAAAAGCACGATCCACATTGATATGACACTATCAAACCGACTTGCCCTCTTTCCACAGTAGTTTCGCTAAGCGTGACAATTCCATTATGGGTGCTGCTTCTCGTAAGTTGTGATATTCCCAAACCTCCAGATTGTTGCAGGATGGCAGCGAGTGGAGTTTCTTCCTTGTCTATAATTGGCTCTTTAACTTGATTTACTCGAGGAGTTGGCTCCTCATCGACATCCTTCTTGCGTCGAGAACTGGCACGGCGAGTTGCCATATTGTTTGGAATTTGGAAATTTAAGACTTTGGTTCAATCTGAAAAGCAAGGATACGGTTTTTTGAGAATCGATGGAACGCAAAATATTGCGAGATCAAGTGACAATTTTGGATGGGAGTCTTACATGCTGATTGTGATATGGTTTGGTTTTGCCTTTGTCTCGTGCTTTGTAATATTGTGACGTGGACACGTTTCCCTTGGTACTGAACCCCTTGGCTGAAGCATTGGCATTCCCATTTCGAGCGACAAGAATCGCCAAGCATTTGCCTGTTACATCGTCAGCCAAGGTCGCGTTTGAAAGCTCACAGATCTCTTGCCCAATATCGAGCTGCTGGACGTCAAACCCCACAACACCCCGCTAGTCTTAAAAATTACTTGATAGGAATTTATACTTTAGATTGACTTACTACAATGACTGGGGATGCAAGATATCTGGTCCAAAACGATGTGATGACTGTGGCCATTATGTCCTATAACTGTGCTTCCGCTGTAGAAGCAGACGATGATGATGATGATGATACAGCAGCAGCATTATGACTCTTTCGAGCCTTTTCCAAGTCCACATCAGGAAACACAATGTCGAATATCTCATCATAATATTCAACAAACCTCACATCCATGCCCTCCTTGATATAATCAGCCAGCTCATCCCAGTCAGATTGATTCGTCTTTGGGAAGATGATCGTCGTGACTCCTGATCGTTTAGCTGCTATCGTCTTTTCCTTTACACCTCCTATTTTTAGCACTTTACCAGTCAAGGTGATTTCACCCGTCATGGCTACATTAGGGAGTACGACGGTATTTAGAGCTAATGACACGAGTGATGTTGTCATAGTCACACCAGCGGATGGACCTGCGAAAGAAAATGCACAAAAAAATGTTACTAACTCTGTAGTATGAATCGACTATTCAACCCAGTACCATCTTTGGGTGTAGCTCCTTCAGGAACGTGCATATGTATACCAGCACGATCAAAGAATCGATTGGCTGGAAATTTACGAGCAAACATGGATCGAGCATATGTATATGCGATAGTAGATGATTCCTTCATTACATCTCCCATTTGACCAGTACGATGGAAGTGAGATTTAGAAGTTTCTGTAGGTGTTGCTTCTAGCACTGATTCTACATATAATGCTGAGCCGCCTAAAGAGCGAGAATAAAGTTGGGGTGAGGAGTCGTTTTCGGAAGAAAACAACCATACCGAGCCCCCTTTTAATACTCTACAGAGTCGCTTCTCAACTTCACATACCCATAGACGTCCATGCTAATCCCATAACGACTCCTGATGGTGTAGTATCATACATTCGATCTGACGTGTAAACAGGTGACCCAACATAGTCCTTCAAATTACTAGACGTTATTTCTACAGGAGGACCAGCTTGTTTGACTTCAGGAGCGGGAGATGGATCTGTTGTCGTGGCAGTAGAAGCGTTAGCACCATCAGTGGCAGTTGTCTTTGTCTCAGAAGACGCAGATGTTCCTACTGACGGCGTAACAACAACTTGCTCTCGTACAATCTTGAGGGCTGCCTTCCTATACACCTTCTCTATATGCTTCTTCAGATTACGAACACCAGCTTCTCGACAGTATTGCCTTATCAAGGTCTCAATTGCTTCGTTGGCCAACGTGACATTCCAAGAATCCAGACCTGCAGCTGTTCTAGCTGCTGGTGCTAGATACTTGGATGCAATGGCGACCTTTTCTTCAGCTACATATCCTGATAGAGTAATAACTTCCATACGGTCAAGAAGTGGAGCTGGAATGGTTTCCAGCATGTTGGCTGTACATACGAATAGAGTCTTGGATAGGTCGATGGGTATATCCATGTAGTGATCGAGGAAGGAATTATTTTGTTCTGGATCTAAAAGCTCTAATAGGGCTGAAGCTGGATCACCTTGATGACCACGTCCAAGTTTGTCAACTAGCGTAGAGTGATGATCTGTTAGGTATCTTTTGGCTTTCATTGAAACCATGGGAAATCTAGAACATCACTCACTTTCGTCAATCATGATGAGAGGATTCTCAGTCTGCACCTTCTTCAAGGCTTGGATGACTTTACCAGGCATAGCACCAACATATGTTCTTCTATGTCCCTTGATTTCAGCTACATCCGTCAACCCACCAACAGAGAATCTAAAGAACTCTCGTCCCAAAGCATGTGCAATAGATTTCCCAACTGATGTTTTACCAACGCCTTTGAAAACGACAAATTAGGGAAGAGTCAAGCAAAAGGTAGACGTTACAGACTTCTGTACCTGGAGGTCCAACCAGACATATAATCTTTCCTTCTACAGTCCCTCTCAGTTTACCAACAGCAATAAACTCCAAAATACGATCCTTGACGTCCTTCAAACCATAGTGATCTTCATCCAAAACCTCCATGGCATGCTTGATATCAAAGTTTTCTTCCGATCGTTTACCCCATGGTATCTGAGTAATCCAATCTAAATAGTTACGAGTGACATTGAATTCTGAGGCAGCAGGTTCAAGATGTTGCAGCTTGTTGAGTTCCTAGTTAGAATTTGCAGGTGAGCATTGTAATGCAAAAAGAAAGGAATAGATGATAATCCAGTTATCCTGGATATTCACAAGCCTCACCTCATCAAACACCTTCTTCACCGAGTCAGGCATCTGTAAATGAGTAGCTCGTTCCTTGAACTTCTCAACCAACTTGTCCTTCCCATCACTCTCCAATCCCAATTCCTTCTTTATACCCTTCAACTGCTCCATCAAATAATACTCTTGTTGCTTCCTCGTAATCTTTTTATCAACCTCTTGCGAAATCTCCTTTTGCAGTTTCGCATTAGCCAACTCCTTTTTCAAAACCAAAAGTGCTTTCTGTAGCCTTTCGTCAATTTTGGTTGACTCTAATACAGCTTGAAGCTCTGCGGTATCACCAGAGCATATGGCAGCTGCGAAGTCAGAGAGTTTGGCTGGGTTGGCTATAGCTTCACCGCCTGTGTGAGCAGAATACGTCAGTACTTGGTCGCGAGTGATGGAATTGATGGCTGAAATGTCCCGCATGACATTGAGCATTTCTGAGGTTGTTGCTTTTATAACGGGTGAATCGGGATTGAAGGTTTCGTCCACCAGATTATCGACGTTTACAACTGGCAGACCAATTTCTGTAAGGTGTTGATTTATAGGTAGGACGGGTGAGTCTTCGGCTGCTACAGTTTCAGTTGCTGGTGAGTCTTCCTTGACATTCTAAAAGATACCAAAAAAAACCTTTTAGTGGTAACCAATAATTTCCAATCCTAGAATTTACAAACCTTGGGTGGTGGCGGATTCATAGCCGTAACTGTACTAGTAGCTCTAATGCGTCGATGAGGAAACACTACTACAGTCAGCGCCGAGTTCTCAGGCCCAGCATGATACACATTAGTAATCTGCGCAAACACCCCAACATCATGCACTTGATTAATATCCGTCACAACATCCATATCCGAGTCATTATCTTTAGACAAGAAGACACCAACCCACGGCTGTCTCCGATCCATCAGCGACTGGATTGCCTGAATAGCTTGTGGATCTTTAATATAAAGTGATTTATAAAACCCAGGGAATAAGGGTCGTCGAGTTAACGGGATTGCGAGTAATTGTGGATATAACGGTGGTATCTGCACTCGCTCTAGAGCGTGTGTTACAGGTGATGCATCAGATGTCTTTTCAGATTTTTCTGGAGCGTTGCCTTTACGTCTTCCTTTCCCATCACCACCACTGCTTGATCCACCACTACTAGCGGGTGGTTTGCTGTCGTCTGATGGAGGAGGTGCAGATCCACTGCTTCCTGATCCACCAGATGGCGGCGTGTTTCCTTCTACTTTATATGGCGATGAGCGTGTGTTATTAAACTCTGTCATAACGGTGGATGGAGATGGTGACGTGGTGTGTAGCATGCCACCAACATGACTCTCGATTGATCCGGCATCTAAATATGTTGTATCCGGTATACTAGGCGACTTTGCAGCCAAACTAGCTTCTAAATCAGACGTTCCTTCAGATATTGAATTGCCACGTTGGTGTGTCGGTATTTCATCAACACTAGCTTCCGAAAGAGTACTAGGTAAACGATGACGAAAACAGATCAGCTCATAATTCAACGAAATGTAAAACAACAAGATGTTTAATAGAGTGTGTCCAACCGATTATGGCTCCAGAATGAGTTGAAAGAGTTTGGTTCAAATGTAATGTGATTGTCACTCAGAGCAATCCTATCGGAAGCAGATGGACCATCCAGAGGCGTATATGTGGTTGCACAGCGTCTTGGGACACTAGTATACCGAGTCTGGAGCGGCAAGCTATCTCCTATATTCCTTAAAGCTGACAACTTGTTCAAATTCAATGCATCTGACTTGTTTCTGATGCAAGCTCGACACGTAGAGGATGCTAATCGGGATGAAACTTGACCTCGTACCAAGGCACTCTGTCTGGTTAATGTTCTGTACATTTGTCCTGCAGTGACGTGTTGTGTCAGAATTGTTGGAATTATTGTAAGTTGGCTCCGATCGTGATTAGAAATACCACTGGTCTCCCTTTACGTTGCCAAAACAAGTTGATATGTACGCGTAATCACATCTTTAAACTTCTGGTTACTCTTCTCACCATTGCTCACCATTATGAAACGGTTACAAGCGTTGGTTCAAAAAGTCGGTAGTATAAAAATCACTATATTTTACTATATACAACAAACAGCTTTCTACGTTTACTGGAAGATACGAACAGTTCCATCTAAATTCCGGGTTGTTGGTTACTACTACACGAACGTCCAATACTTGAGTTTCTTGAATGTCGTCAGACATACCTGATCCAACAGTTACAAGACTTTCTGCAGACCGATCAAAAGCAACCCCTTGCACACTTTCTTCATGGGCATCCAGTTCATGCATTCGAACTGCCGGATCTACCAAATCCAGTCTAGAACAAGCAAAAAAGAAGTAATGGAAAGCTGTTAATATCCGGAGAATCTAAACAACACTTACATGCGACAGAATCCATCATCAGAGGCGACGGCAAGTACATATCCACTGGGATCAAAGCAAACACGATTGGCACCAGATGGGCCACAAGGAACAGTGACAAACTCAGACATGTTGCGAGCATCCCATACTTTGACGATTCCCATTGTATCACATGTTGCGAATTGTTGGCCCTATGTACATAAGGATTGATTTACATCCAAAAAAAACTTGGATTACATCGAAGGATAGCTTACCTTGAGGGCAAACGAGGCACAACTAATCGTTGCTTGATGCGAACTGAACGTTCGAACACATAAATTAGATCGGGCATCCCATAGACAAACATTCTTGTCTGCTGATGTGGTGACCAGCAGATTCGAATATGGCTGCCACGCCACACTACAAACTGAATCCGTGTGATTTCGTAACGTTGTTTTACATCGGCCCCTAAAAAATGAAAGTCACATAAGAGACTCATCGAGAACACACACGCAATAACAACTCAAACCCAACTCACGTCGCAACATCCCAAAGCTTCACAGTCGCATCCTGTGATCCACTCGCCAGCACATCTCCACCATCTTGAAACGCACACGCCCAAACAGCTTGACGATGATCAGCTAAAGTTAAAGTCACTACACCCTTTGTGAAATCCCAAATCTTGATTGTCGAGTCTCCAGATGCTGTAGCGAGGTGAGCTCCCTTTGGATGAAAATCCAGACAACCAATCCAATCTCGGTGGCCACGGCCACTCATGATCAATTCGCCAGACGGGAAGGACCACATCTTCCATGTCTTGTCGTCAGATACGGTGGCAAATATCATCTTTTTTGGGTGGAATTTGACGCTTTGACAAAAAAGAAAAGTGAGATTATGAAAACGCAATTGATGACCAAGAGGAAGATATAGAAGGAGGCAAAATATAGAAGACTCAAACAAACTTACGCACTAACAGCTAGATCGTGTGCCTTTATGGTCCTGACACGTAAATAGCCGTCTAATTTAGCAGTTGGAAGCTCCATTTTCAAGTATGGGTTGTCTCGTATATCAGACAGAGGAGAAGGCTGTTGTAAAGTGGGTGCGGGTTTGGCTTCAGGCTTTTCCGGCTGTTCGGCGGGTTTTGGAGCCGGTGATGAGATTTCCTTAGCTAAAAAGACCCATAAAATGATGGAACGTTAATCATGTTGGTATTAAAACGGAGCGAGCAACCATTAGAAAGTTTCAACCTGATCTTACATTCGTCTTTGCTTGGCTGCGAGACCTATGAACAGATCAAAAAAGTGAGTGAGGATCGTACAATATCTCCTCGAAGGCTACCAGGTACCTTGGAATGCAGCCTATCTCGTTCTAATTTCAGCATCATCTTTTCTTTCATAGCGACTTCATACTTGTGTCTCATCTGCTTCAACTCGGGCTCATACAGTGCTGTTGCTTCTTTCAGCCTCCGCACTTCACCAACGAGTCTAGCCTTCTCTTGGACCACACGTTTATGATGCATTCGATGGAAATCACGTTCCTTTCCCAGCTTCTCTTGCACTGCTTGAGCCTCTCTGAATTTTAATGACAAAAAAATCAGGAAGTGTATCACGAAGGAATGTTGTCAGCAAACTTACACGGCTCTCGTCTTGGCGTGATCTAGATCGGCTCGTAGTTTACGTAATGATTCCTCTAATTCGAGTGTCTTTTGATATACATCTGGTACGAGAATGACATCCTCCTCCGTCAATCGTCCTCGCTGTTGAAAGTCATGCCACTCATTCTGGATTTAGACATAGGATTGTTAACATTCGAGATTCATTCCAAAGGCAGACCAAATCATGATTTACCTGGAAGGCGTCCAGGGCAACAAACATCCCCTTGTTGACCAGATAGTTGCGTATGAAATCGTCAATGACTTCAGGAGTTTTGGTGAAGGTGGGCACAGGTTCGTCTCCACGTGGATTGTAATCTGCAGGAGCAGCGAGAAGAGCGAGAGTATAGTTGGTTGTTAGTCAGAGCGTGTTTCGACAAGATGCATAAAACAAACAAGATGAGCACCTCCAGCCAGTGTCTTTTCATCGATATCTCGTTCGCGAAATTGCTTTTCTTCACCGAAATCGCCGTCCCTTTCCAGATCTACTATTGGTTCGACCTTGTCAACTAGGTAGGGAAATGTAGCATGTCAGTATTCAAGATGCCCAGTTCTTTGACACGGATGATGGCCATGACGATAGTTCTGAATTACGATGATGACAATGTAATAGTTCTGAGTGATTCTCAGTACCTGGTAACTGTTCTCGTTGGCTATTTGGACCGGCAGAAACACCACCACTTTCAGCAGTTTGTTTTCGAGTATTTCGAGGTTTGACACTCGACGGCGGTGTGGCTGGAGGAAGAGGACCAGCTGCAGGTGCAACTGTCTGCATTATCGTATAGATGATCCTCGGTCTACTCAACCGCGTCTAATGTAAAACAGCTGATGCACAGGGATTTGGTGTAAGGTACGAATTGTGAGCTGAAAAAGTCAAGCACCAGGTCAAGCATTTGCGAAAAATAGAAGCCGTGATTTATTATCACGGCTATTTAACGTCTACATTTAAAATATAAGTCGCGTTTCTGATTGAGTCTGCAGCTGATCTTACACGAATGACAACTCCACAAACGTATTCAACTCAACGGCTGGAGTACATTTTACACGTCGAGATAGTCACAAGTACGATACAACAAAAAGGCGCAAGATCCTCTCGGATCTCGCTGGCTATAGTCAGCCATTTGTGCTTTACACACTCTTCACAAAACCTCAAATCTCAACTTTTCATGTTCTAGGAGCAGCATGAGGCCCCCTCCTCCCAAAAAACGATCCAGTGCAATCGGATTACCCACTCCAGCGACCCATTCCAGCCCCGGTGGATTCATCAGGAGTCTCAAGAAATGTGGTCTCTCCTTCCGTAGACTCTGGACAGCCCTTGGAATAACCGTGCTGCTGATTTATTTTATTTATCATTTACAGCCTGCAAAGCCTTCAAAGCGCATCATCCAAGATGCTCAGAATGCCGTTGACAGCATCAAAGTCGTCCCGGATCTAGTTGCCGAGGAAGCAGACAGACAACCTGCGAAAGCACAACCTCACAAGAATCTAGATACTAATGGTAGGTGCCAAGTAATATTCTTGTATTTATTGAGCTGTATTCCTTGTTTGTCTTGCTGGTCGAATTGTGCTGTTGCTTGTTTATAACTAACGAGCCTCACCCTACTACTAGGTTGGGTAATACCTGATCCATCAACCGTGAAGACAGACGACACACTCCCAATGCTAGAAACACTCGCAACCACATTCCCATACAAACACCCTCTAGTAAACCCACAAACCGCAATAGAAGCTGCACTATCAGCAGCATACATTTACTCTAAAATAGGCACGGCTGGTGTCATTCCACACACAAACATTCCACGCATCATACATCAGACATGGAAGACTACCAGTGTAAAGGACGCCCCTGCTCATGTGTCCGAAAGTGTGGCGAGCTGGAGGCAGAAGAATGTTGAAGTCACTTCCGGGCTGGGTTTTGCTCATATATTGTGGGACGACACTGGGCTAGAAGAGATGGTTAAAGTGATGCACCCTACGATATATGCCACATTCAAGGATTTGCCAAAGAAGGTGCACAAGGCTGATATTTTTAGGTACCTTGTGCTGAATACTTTTGGTGGTGTGGTACGTCCTGTGCATTGGGAGTTCAATAGTAGACTTTGGACTTTTCATTTCTTTGTGTCCTGAAACACATTGTCGTTTCTTGGGGTATGTCCTAACATATCTCATACACTTAGTACGCTGATGTAGACACCTTAACACTGCGGCCAGTCGAAAAATGGCTAGACGCAAACGATTTGGCATCATGGAAGTATAAGGACCAAACGATGCCGGTTTTAAAAGAAGTCAATTTCATCGTCGGGCTGGAAACCGATGTAGAACGAAACAATTCAGTAGACTATAAAGGAATCTATGAAACCCCCATGCAAATGTGTCAATGGGTACGTATCAGCAGTGATCCCCAAGTCGTGAGAAGCAAAAATCACGCCGTCTCACGAATTATGCCTCGCTTCCTAGGCCATGGCAGCAAAAGCAGGACATCCTATCCTCTCACGAGTCATACATTCTATATTCTCCAAACTGTCAACCATGACACCTAATGAAATCAAGAATGCCGATGTACCTCGTTTGACGGGTCCAGCGCCATGGACGGCTGCTATATACGGACATATGGCTGAAAATGGAGTTGACTGGAATGATTTGAGGGAATGGGGTGATCATGCTAGAGGCATTGGAGATGTTGTTATTCTGCCTATTACGGCGTTTGCGTAAGTTGGTTGTCTCGCAACTCGACGTTTGACAAGGATACTGAATGCTCATTTGGTTGTAGACCTGGATATGGACAGGTACTGATTACCGTGTTTGGTAACATGGGATCGAAAACGATTGAAGATCTTGATGCTCGTGTTCGGCATTTATGGCGTGGGGTAAGCAATTCAATTTGTGCATTGGACGTTTTTTGGCTTTTGAGGTTTGGAACTCACAAGACCTGTCGAGCATATAGGTCTGGCGCAGTGATACTTCTTGAGTCAAGAATAATCGCATAATTCGTTTCAATCCATTTCTGTCAGTTAGTATAACATATATAAACACACCCGAACAACACAAAACAGCTTCACTTTTGTTTTTCTGCATCGTCTTGGGCTTTTTAATTAAAGATTATGCGAGTACACGAAATGCGCCAGAAAAATTATAAAAATCAATATTGAAATACGACTGCCAGTATTACGTTATTCAGCGAAAGCTACTAAAAAGACAAGAAACCTGTACAACCACAGAAAAAGAAGAGAGATCTAGGAGATTGAAGACACGACAGACAGCTATCCTAAACAGGCCCTGCTGCCTCGTTTCCATTTTACTGCTCATTTTGCTCCAACGTAGCATATCCCTTCCCAGCAACTTTGGCATTAGCACGCTCCAACGTCCCCAAGAAACCCTGCCCATCTAAAATCCCAACTCGTTGCCCTATCGGCGACGACGGCGACCCATCTGACCCTGCACCATTCCGCCTCCTCTCCGCCAAAAACGCCTCAATATCCAAATCACCTGGACTGGTCGGCGATGCAGTCTTTGGCATTCTATTTCCCGCAATCACAAGCGCACTTGTATCAACCTTCAAGTCACCACCAATAGAATTACTATTCCCATTTGCGTCCAAAAACCCTTCAGAGAATTCTTCAGGTCTTGCGTCCTCAACTTTGACATGCGACCAGTCTGCTTTACCGGAACGACCTGATTTACTCCATCCACCTGTTGGCGATTCTAGTTGTATGGCGTCTCCGCCGCCACCGTGTGCAGCAAGGAATTGTTTCTTCTTTTGTAGTCGGTGGATGCGTCGTACTAGGAAGAGTGCGAGGGCGATAACGGCTGCTATGCCCAAGACTATGAATACTGCTGCTGTTGTGTTTAGGCCAAGTGGTGTTGTGGCTGCGTTGCTATTACTGGTTCCGGCAGAGGTAGGGGGATCTGGGGTCGCGGCGGCTGGTGTGGGAGTAGTGTCGGCGAGTCTCACGCCGATGGGATATATTGCTGGGGCTGGGATTGGACAAACAGCTGTTTGCCTTGTTGGTGACGCGTTAATGTCGTAGCAGTCAGCGGGGTTTACGTATTGGTAGGCGTCTAAGCAAAGATTCGTTAGATTTATTCAAAGGTGGTGACTCTGTGTTTGTTTTTCTGGCAACTCACCTGTGATGAGTTTGCGCATCCACACAAACTGCCAGTCGGGTTCATAAGATGGCACCATCATGTGGATTAAATCCTGCAGCATTACATCGGGATAGGCGTGTATGGATACAGACCAATCTAGTTTTACACCAAAAAATGAGATCTCGAGGTACTGTATTTCATTTTTGAAAGTTTGCAACTTTCTCACCATTGTATCCACCAGCCGTCCTTATGAGATCCGTCCGATAAACCGATGAATTCGTTTGGAAACGGAATCCCGACGAGGAATTCACTTGATAGTTATTTAGAAAGTTGGAGTATGTATATACCGGCTCCGTAGCAAGAGTTCCATTTCCAGCATTTCCACCGACATATGTGTTGTCGATAACGAAATCTGCGTATTGTAGGTCTCGATCTAGATCAGCGGCAGTAGTCCACCCTACATTTGCGTCTCCTGTTGCTGGCAGTGCTAACAGTCCTCCTGCATGTTGTATCAGAGCCTCCTTATACAGAAAATCTGGTGTATTCCAATATCCACTCTGATACCTCATCCATGCGACACGTGCGGGATAGTCAGTGATCTGTGGCTCACGATTTATCTTGTTACAATCATATTCCTGTTGCACTGCGTTGAACAGGAGTTCAGCCTGTTCGTCAATGAGGAAGAACATGGCATAGGCTTTAATCCACTCAAACCGATCCATTGGATGAATTTCGGACATATATCCAAGCGACACGAATGGTCCACTGATTGCTGCCGAGTCTGGATTACCGAATATTACATTTACGGCTTCAGTGTAGCCCGTGTTTAATGTCAGTGGCAGTATCGCTCCAGCAGCGACCTGTTGCAGCAAACATGGGGAGACGAGTGACGCAGAGTTGTACACGTATTTGATAAGTGAGGCCTGACCGAGACGCTCAATGAATGATATGGAGGGTTCGTCCATGACTGCTACGACTTCGACTGGGATTTGAATGAGGGTGCTATAAGCGGCGGTGTTGGGATTGTGAGACAAGGATCACAAAGGGAGGACCGATGAGGCTCCGAAGCGCCTTGAATACTTGAATTGGAAGCATTATACTGCTCTCGCCGGCACCAATAGTATGGTTTTTGGATGCACGACAGACCCTCACAAAACAACCAAACACATGATTCCACTTACTATGCATAATCGGTGATGACGGGGGCCGGGGTGTTGCATAGATATAGAACGTAACTAGTAGATCAGCCTAGTTAGAAACCGTGCGCTCCAGACCCATTGCTTTCAAAGGCTAAGTTGTTGGAGCAATGTAGCAAATAAACATCATCCGTACTTGTTTCCGGACGACAAGTCCTGTATTCTCTTGTATGAATTGTGATAAGATATCTGAAGATGCTGGGCGTAGATGACTGGCAAAAAAGGATGGTATTAGAATGGCTGCTCGCTGTAACCCGAAAAAACTGTAAAGGAGCTTACTCGAATTTATCTTGTTGCCTTCAAAGTAATCGACTGTGGCATCGTATGATCCGACGGGGCATGCTATAGCCATGATCTGCTGTATCTCTCTCTCTCAGCGATGGCCTGGCACGAATTAGGAAGATTGGCTGTTTTGTTTTTGGTGGTTTGAGTTCGGACAGAGGAGATGCTGGTTTGAGAGGGCCGGAAGGAGATCCAATACGTGTATAAGGCTTGAAAACAGTCGATTTTGATGTCAAATCACGAAAAGGATGCTTGTAGAGCTTGCAAACGAAGAAAGGCGTCAGTTTGAACCATGACCGTCATTGCAACTAGCAACACGAGACCTTCAATAGAATTTTCGATCGTTTCATTGTGATATCACGATAAGTAGCGTAACTAACAGGAGTTGTTAATCATAGAGTTGGTTCATTCACCTCCCCTCGCAATTTATAACAAGCGACGACTGAACTGAACTAACTACAAGCACATCAACTTGGTTTAAATAGAGACTCTCATCCGTAGCCCAGGATGGCTACTCAGAAGGGCCCTGGCCTGCCAGCATCTCCAACGCCGGCCAAGATTAACCCATCGCCAACTGCCAAACAAGTACTCCCATCTGCACCCAGTGCTCTAGTTCAATCACCAATCGTCCTCGCTAATAGTCCATCTCCTGTTATTGTCATTGATCCATCTCCCTCTATCGCTCAACCTCCATCGCCCTTACCATCATCCATACCATCTGGAAATGTCGCTTCTGTGGTAATCGTGTCGGCTTCAGGAATCATTGCTGCTTCTCCTGCGGGAGTCGCTGCTTCTGGTGTGGTGCTGGCATCACAAATCATCAATGGATCGCCCACTCGAAACACTCTACTATACTCTTCATCCATGACCGCTTCTCCCACAATCAACAGCATATATGGTGGTGTTGTTGGTGGTGCTGGTGTCATGTCTTCGCCGTCTATTGATCTCACTGGGAATATCAACAATTTCAGCAACAGTAGCAACAATGCTTCTGCTTCTACTTCTGGTTCTGTTGGGTTGTCATCGTCCGCCTTGACAGGCCTCGTCTTGGCTGGAATCACTCTTGTTGGTGCCCTCATTGGAATATTCATTTTTCGACGATGGAAGCTTCAAGTATGTCATTCTTGTCTATGATGTTGTGTGTTTGTGACGTGGCGTACATCACTACTCACTCCATCACCCTTTTTGCTAGCCATCATCAAGCTTCAGAGATCGTACAAGGGGCGATGATATGAATCAAGTCTTCAAGTTACCGTCTAGAACGGCGAACAACTTGCACTCACCGTAATATGAAACGTGAAGAAGGTTGTATAAAAGGAATTCCCATCACTAGTAGATATTGTAACCCTTGTACAGGCCAAACTGTAATATTCACAAAAGGCACAATGTTTAGTCCTCATTTTGCTTAAATATACGTCATAAACCAGTCAAACAGCCCTGATGCGTGTTTCGTAGCGCTTGCACATTAATACAAGATCAGCGCGCATTTAAGGTCTCCTTACGCGTTTCTGAGACGGCAGCTATCAAAATTCGTATTATTCCCATTGTTCGGTACTTGATGGGTATTCTTTGCTTGATCAGAAACTCGACATTCGCCCAACACATTACTTGAACAAAGCAAGCACGAACAGGACGAATCAAAGATGGGTATTCCAAAGGTATGAATAGATTGTCATGAACTGAACCGACTTTACCCTATCAAACCATGCATAACACTACAACTCTTTCTGTAGTTCTTTCGATGGATGAGCGAGCGTTATCCGTTGTGCTCTCAGCTCGTGACAGAGACCAACATCCCCGAATTCGGTAATGCCAAAATATCGACTTAATACTTTAAAATCTTCCGTTTTACTGAATCCCTCATTCTGAATAGACAATCTGTATCTGGATATGAACGGCATCATTCACAGTTGCTCACACCCAAATGATGGAGATGTGCATTTCCGAATGAGCGAAGAAGCTGTCTTCCTAGCTATATTCAACTACATTGATGCCCTTTTTGGCAAAATCAAGCCAAAGAAACTCTTCTTCATGGCTGTTGACGGAGTCGCTCCAAGAGCAAAGATGAATCAACAGAGAGCTCGCCGGTTCCGGACTGCGAAAGATGCAGTGGAAGCGAGAAAAAAGGCTGAAAAGAAGGGTGAAGCGTTGCCTAAGGAGCCTCCTTTTGATTCGAATTGTATTACGCCAGGTAAGATTGGGCAAGGGGTTTGGATTTGGTGTGTGGTGGGATAAATAGGAGCTATGGATTCAATGTCTCATTCTTCAAAATCTAATTGGCCCGAGCAATAATTTACGCATGTTCACGCCCAAAAACTGACGCATCAATAACTCATAGGAACGGAATTCATGACCAAACTATCGACCCAACTAAAATACTTTGTAAACAAGAAAATGAGTGAAGATGCTTCTTGGCATGGCGTCCAAGTCGTCTTATCGGGCCATGAAGTACCAGGAGAAGGAGAACATAAAATCATGGAATATTTACGTCTCGCAAAGTCGCGACCAGATTATGATCCAAATAATAGGCATTGTCTCTATGGACTGGACGCAGATCTCATCATGTTAGGCCTCTTGTCTCATGAACCTCATTTCGCCTTGCTGCGAGAAGAAGTCACGTTTGGGAGAACCAAGAAAAAGACTTCGGCATCTAGTAATCCTGACACCCAGAGTTTCTTTTTACTCCATCTATCATTATTACGTGAATACTTGGACTTAGAGTTCTCTTCCCTAAAAGAAAAGTTACCCTTCGCATATGATGTAGAACGTATAATCGACGACTTTATACTGATGGCATTTTTCGTTGGGAATGATTTTCTACCAAACTTGCCAAACCTTCATATCAACGACGGCGCTTTGGCAACCATGTTCTCAAAGTATAAATCTATATTGCCTGATATGGGAGGATACTTGAATGATGGTGGGAAACTAAACTTGCGTCGATGTGAATCTATATTGCGAGCATTGAGTGATATTGAGAGGGAGAAATTTGAAGATGAACGTATTGATTTGAAGTGGCTCAGCTCCAAGATGGAGAGAGAAGCTGCTGGGCCAGCGAAGAACAAAAAGAATGGTAATTATGACACGACCAACAAAAAGAACCTTTGACCAGTGGCTTCATGTGTATCCTAGCTGACACTCCGACCTTCTCCTAGTGATAACACCATCTCAGAAAACACTACTGGCTTCCATCACCCAATTTATCGATGATCCGCCAGAAGCTCCTGCTCGACTGTGGTTTGATAGTAATCTACCAGCTCGAGACAGAAACTTTATCAAAAAAATCGCAAAAGACTTGTCGGTGCTCTTCGGTGAAGACATCAAAGATCCCGAAACACCCAAAGTCAAATCATCGTACATCGAACTTGACTCTGATGAAGATCAAAGTGATGAAGAAGGAACTGAGGCTAGAAGTCGTGTCCTCGTTCGATATGAAAAGATGGAAGTCAAGGATGATGGTGATATGACGATAGAAAAGCAGCAAGCTGAGGCAAAGAGAATGGTTGAGGAGGAGTTTCAGGGAATTAAGAAACATTATTACAAGGTTTGTTGTTGGTGGAGTTGTTTGTATGTCTGGACATCCTGCTTGGTCACTGACCCCTTTTTGCCTGTCGCAGGAGAAGCTAGAGATTGATTATAGCAACAAGGATCAATTGGACAAGGTTATATATCACTATGTCGAGGGTCTACAATGGGTCTTGTTGTACTACTATGAAGGTGTCGCTTCTTGGGAGTGGTTTTATCCGTTTCATTATGCTCCGATGACTAGTGGTATGATGCAATGTTCGGTTTATGTCTGATCCACGAAATCCGAGTGAGTTTTTTCATCACCTCCAACTATAGACATTGTCGATTTGAGTCGATTTGAATTCAAATTCGAACTTGGTAAACCATTCCTACCATTTGAGCAACTTATGGGTGTGCTTCCTGCCGCTAGCAAGACGCTCATTCCTGCAGCTTATAGAGTACGTGGGAATGTTGGATGCGAAAAAGGAAAGTTTGTACCAGTTATGGATTCTGACTCTTGGTGCAATTTAGGATTTGATGACAGATGTAGCATCTCCCATTTTCGACATGTATCCAGTAGACTTCCAATTGGATATGAATGGAAAGAAGGCTGATTGGGAAGCTGTAGTCAAAATTCCATTTGTGGATCAAGATCGATTGTTGAGAACGTTACAAGGTGAGCAAAACAGGAAAACTTTTATTCTCACCATGAATTGTTTTGCTGACATATCTCCTCCACTTCGACATATAGCTCGAGAAGCACAACTCACTCCTACGGAACGACAACGAAATAATTGGGGTCCTAGTACACGTTTCACTTATGATCCCAATGATGTGCATGTGTATTCATCTGTCATTCCTGGTGTCTTTCCTGGTAATGGAAATTTGATTCTTCAACTTCAATCTCTTTTTGGCTAAGTTGAATTGGAATTCCTAGACATCAATAGTTGCGTATGCAAAATGGAGGATTACAACCTTCCAGTCATTGGACTTCATGGATTTGTGAAGGGGTTGTGTCCTGGTGTGAGACTAGGCAAAGACCTGATGCCTGGTTTCCCATCTCTTCAAACTTTGCCACATACTGGAACATTGGGATATCATTCAGTCAATGTCTTCAATATGGAAGCTTTGTAAGTTTATTTCTGAGGCTTCTCCTCGTTTTGGCGGCATGTTGATTGTTTTTTTTTTTTTTTTTGATTTTAAAGAAAATTTTGTTTTTTTTTTTTTTTTTTTTTTTTTTTTTTTTTTTTTTTTTTTTTTTTTTTTTTTTTTTTTTTGATGTTAGACGAGAGGTTTTGGTCATCTCATTGGCAAGTGATGGTGTTGGTGGCAAGACGGCTGAAGAGTTGGCCAAGGAAAAGCTGGACAAGAAGATATTTACTGGTATGAAATTGTCATCAGATTGTCCATATTCGACATTGAGCTTTATAAGTTTGTCTCCTCCAGGCTGGCCATTCTTGATAGAAGGTCTTGTAGTAGGAATGTCAGATGAATACTTCCACTATTCACTGGCTACTACTCCTTCTGGTCGCCAAGATGTGGTCAAGGCACCACACAATCAAGAGTCTTCGGATCGATTTTTCCGAGAAGCTGACAATATTGAATCTCACTACTCGAAACGTTTTGGTACTCTGATTGGTCCTATTGAAGTTGCGTTGCATGTGCTTCCGCTGAAAGGTATTGAAATTGGTTTATTGAGATCAATACATTATGAATGATTTCTGACTTCCTTCTTTTCGTCATACAGGAATGGCATTAAAGGAGGATGGAGCCCTTATAAAGGAGTACTCGGATTATGATGTTATGGTGCCAATACAAATTGTTGTGGATAGTATTGAAACTGAAGATCCTCGATTTGCAGTGAGTGCTGCCTCGTGGATCGTACCAAGTGTTATTCGAGAATCTTTAGTATCCGCTGATTTATTTGCCTCTTAGGAAAAACCGCCACCACCTATATCAGTCGAGTTTCCTATCGGCTCTAAAGTGTTCTTCTTGGGCAGTAAACGCTATGGCTGTGTTGCAGAAATACAAGACTGCTCGGATGAAAAGCTCAACGTCGCATTGCTCGTATGTCCTGAATCATCTTTTGTCGCTTCTTCAGAGCTCTAACTGCGTTTTGTAACAACACATGTAGGTACCCAAAGAGGCAGAACTGGAAAGCGGCCTAAATTTCACTCGTGATATCGCATTGGAAGCTCATCGTCAAGAGCAATATCATCCTTCATACCTTGCTTGCAAGTTTATTGGCATAAGCTCGCTTGCACTTGCTAAAGCCGCATCATCACTTCATGTGATATCCAAGAGGACAGAAAACAGACACAATATAGGGTTGAACTTGAAATTCGAGTCCAAAGGTCGGAAAGTCTTGGGATACTCGCGGAAGACTGAAAACGGCTGGGAGTATAGTCAGAAGGCGATTAATTTGTTGAAGGACTACAAGGTATGTCAGGCCCTTGTCGAAGAAATCATTTCAGGATTACATCCATTGGACTCAATGCTTTCTTTTCTCGTAGACAACCTTTCCCGAAATATTCGTCGCTCTGGATCGAAAACAAGGATCAGGCGAATTCTTTGAAGATACCGATTTCTTCCCTCACAATGTTGCTGAAGAGAAGCTCAATCAAGTGAAGGAATGGCTCAAGGTTCATGGAGTCAAGGAAATGGAACGAGTGCCTCTTGCTTCAAATGGCTTGACCAAGGTTTGAGTATTTGAATGAGAAACTTAGAAATTATGCGTCAACGCTAAAGAGTTTTTTTGTTATTGATTTAGGATTGGGTGATTGAGATTCAAACTGCCATTGATAACGTTTACAAAGATATTAAGCTGCCAGGGTTCAAGAAACTCATTGTCAAGAATGTTCCAAGACCGGTATGCATATAGAGGAATTTGAGATTACTGATTTTTGTCTGACCCGATACTCTCTCTTTTCAGTCTATTCTGAAACCCGCACATGCCAAGCATCGCCTTACGAATCAAACATTTGAACTCGGTGATCGTGTCGTGCATGTAGTTGATGCTGGTACAGTACCATTTGGCGCTGAAGGAACTGTAGTTGGGATGGACGGAGTGTTTTTGGATGTGTTATTTGACAGACCATTTATGGGAGGAACGAGTCTTGATGATAGGTTGGTTGAAGTTTCCTCCCCAAATGAATTCAGAGATCCTGTCAATTAACACTTCGCTTTTTTGCATCAGATGTGCCCCTTCACGTGGAATGGTATTGTCAAAGGACACTTTGCTGAATACCTCGAATCCACAACCACCTATAAGTCGTCCCACAAAAACATCAATCCAACAAACCTATAATCGATTCGGCATTGGCAAAGGAAAAGCACAAGCTCAAGATTCTAATGCAGTAAATGGATATAAGCGAAGAGGTCCCAAGTTAAATGCAGATGCTGTATTTGCAAATGGTGGTGATAAGAAAGCTTGGTCTAAGAATCCACCACAATCTATCATGGCACGAGGTGATGCCAAATCAAACCATGTTGGAGAAGTACGTCCTGCAGCAGCAACAGCAACAGTAGCAACAGTACGCCCTGCAACAGCAACAGCGCCAAATAGCAACAATACACCATTGCAACCACACACTGTTAACCCTCAGACTGTAGAAGAACGTCAAGTTGGTACTTTAAAGATCGCCATTGTCAAACGAGCCGTCACGATGCCTGCCGTATCTGCAAATGCACCAGCAGCTCATCATTCTACAGCTCCATCAGTAGCTCGGCCCGCTTTGGAAGCTCAACAACCTGCAGTAAACGTTTCAATCGCAGTCAATAATCCTCCAGCTCAACACCAGCAACAACATCAACAATATCATTCGCAACAACCATACTACTCAGCACAGCCATTTGCAGGTAATTCTCAGTATAATGGTGGATATGGTTATGGATATGGGTATAATGAGGGCAATGGATATCACAATCCTAACCCATATGGTGGATATCAGCAATATGGATATCAACAACCATATCAAGGGTACCAACAAAATGGCTATGGCTCGTATAATCAAGGATACTATGACCAGTATTATGCCAATATGAACTCGGCTAGCAGTAGTGGTCAAAATGTTGACTTGTCTGCTCAACTCAAAGGTGTGCTCAATCTCAAAGGAGATACGACCACTGCATCTACGTCTGGTGATGGAACTGTAAGTGAAGCCAACATCAGCAGTGGTGGTAGTAGTGCAGGACCGAGCAAGTCGTCAACAGCCGCAGATCCATCAGCAGGAGACGTCTCTCGTCAAATACTTTCCAGTATGGTATCCAAGCCTGGTAGAGTATCACAAACAGGAAATGCTGTGGGGCCATCATCTGGATATGCTCAATATGGTACGGCTGCTGGACAAGCATCAAACGTTGCAGCGTATCAGGCGACGCATAACGAGCTGCATAATTTGATGAGTGGACAACAATCTGGTGGGAGCCGCGGTTATCTTCATGGTAATCGTGGCAGAGGACGAGGGGGTAATCGTGGTGGTCGTTTCTAAAAGTAGTTTTACCCTTGCAATTTGTACCTTTTGAACTAGTTTTAGCATATGTTAGCATTTTCACAGAACCTAATATATAGTAGCACAAGCCTGGAAATCGCAAAAAACGATGATGTGGGTGTTATGTTTACGGTTATAAGTATGTCTTTCAGAGAGTTTACACGACATTGTTCTATCTGCGTTCTTTTACAAATAACTGCAACCACAAGAACGATACAAGTGTCAACACACCGAATATGATAGCAAGCCTTTGAATATCTGGCCAAAACCCTTGCGAATCAAATCCAAATTCCTTCAATATGATAGCTCCAGGAACCTGCAAAAAAAATCAATATATGTCATATTATCTATGCGGCCAAGAAGAAACACGCCAATCTTACATCAATCATTAGCCCAAACTTGTCATCAAAAAGCTTGAGTCCATTGACCTCATTAACAACAAGAGCCTCTAGAGCACAATTAAAGTAACTGGCGGTATTTAGCCAACTCAAATATACAGGAATGGATGGCTTGTTGAGTAGCAATCCTCCGAAAAGCATTTCAAATAGTATTACTACTGTTGCTACCAGACTCGCTGATGCCAGATCGGGTACCATGATGGAGATAAGTAGACATGCTGCCGCTGCTGTAGCGTTGAATGATACCAGCGTCAAGAGGAATTTTAGGAGATATTCGGGAGAGTCGGCTCGAAGGCCTGCCATTTGGTATACAATCAGGCCTAGGAGGATTGGCGGGACGACACGGAGTGGTAGCAAGTCAAACAAGATCTAGGAGGAAAACAAAAAATATTAATACCGAGAGCCTAAGTCGATGTTGACAATAGGATGTGAACTCACTTTGGAAGTGAAGTAGGTGATTGGACTATAATAACCATTCGCACGTTCTCTCATAAATATTAACCTTTCAGATGCAAACAGCTGTAAAGAGGGAAAAATAGGTAAGAACCGTATGCCGTAAGAGTAATGCTTAAGCTTGTATGCATCAGTTCATTCGCGTACCTGCATTGAGCTAAGACATGCAAGAGCAAATACAACACAAACAAAGAAGAAGAGGCCCATACGATTCTGGAAGCTAGGCAAGTCAAAACCAAGTTTGTAGTACATGAGTCCTAATATGATGGCGAGACCCACAGACAATATGTACTGCAGCTTCAGTAATAGCGGGTTTCTATACAAGTTTTTGAAGGTACGACCAGACAATATAAGGAATTGATCCCACCATGATGCTCGAGCAGTATTTGGGAATACGAAGTCGTATATCTTTTGTATTGTTCCAGTGGCAACAGGTGCATTGCTAGGCCGTTGAGCAACAGGATACGGCATAGCGGATGCTTGACCAGTCTGGCGACCATCCGATCCGTGTCCAAGACCATTTCTGTTCTCACTACTACCTGACCTTCCCATCATAAATCTTCCATTAGAGCCAGTAGAAGCCGCTCGTCGCAGCTCACTGAACCCAGTAACAGTTGCAGCAGCTTCAATCTCATTGTGACATTGTCGTGCTATATCCGATGAAGAGTATCCATCAATCAGAAGCTGTAGGTGGTCGGATATAATGGGAGAGCCATTTACTACTGACGCTTGTCGTCTTGCTCTAATAGACGATAGCGACTCACGACCTGCTAATGATGCTTCACCGAGGAGGCCTAAACCAGCCGGTGCAGATGTTGATAGCACGGATCTATCGGCATTCGACGGAGATTTTGGTGATTTCTTGGACGAGCCCTGTCTCGATTTAGATGGGTTTGCACCACTACCAGCCTGCTGGCCTGCACCCCAATCTTCGTCCAAAAGATCATTGAGCGAGTCATCTATTTCATCTACATCCGTTCGTTTCTGTGTCTGTTCGATATTATTAGAGCCAGTAGCAGCAGGAGACTTGGATTTGCTCAGGTTTGTTGATGATAGTTCTCGTTTAGTACTCATTGGGCTAGGATGAGTTGATCGTGCATGTGGAGTAAACAGATTTTCTTCTTGACGAGCACGAATGGAGGATTTCCTCTTAACTCCTGGTCGGCCTGGTGAAGGAGCAGGTGTCTCAAAGTTTATTACAGCATCTGTCGGACTTTGCATTAACGGATTGTTTGAATCTGCATTCATGGTCGTCTCGACAGCATGCATCGTCAAATCGACTGGAGCAAAAAAGGGAGTTGTGAGTCATGTGGAACACAAGCCTTGATTCAAAATTTCAATGAACATACCTAGATAATCGGCAATATTGAAACCTAGAGGACAATCGAAGCCCAACGACGAGAAATGGTCGATAACGAGCTCCTGAGCTGGCCCTGAATAGACTGTTCGACCTTTAGCCAGTAACACTAGTTGATCGAATAAAGCATAGATATTGGATCTGGGTTGATGGATGGTGAATACTACAGTTCGCTGGAAGTTTCGAGCTAATGCTACCAGACACTCAATGACGTTATACGCATTGTACGAGTCCAGGCCAGAAGTCGGTTCGTCCAGGAATAGAATGGAAGGGCTAGTGACAAGTTCACACGCTATAGAGACACGTCGTTTCTCTCCACCACTAATACCTCGTTCCCCTTTACCACCAACACGTCGATTGGCGATGCTGAGAATATCCAGTTCGAGCATGGTTTCTGATACTCGTTGACATTTAGCTTTGTATGACATGGAGCGAGGTAATCGCAACAAAGCGGAATACAAGATGGTCTCATAGACCGTCAGTGTCTCCATCAAGGTCTCTTCTTGATCAACGTACCTGAGCAACAAAAGATGATATCAAAACGCATTCAGACCAAATCAAATCAGCTTGTTGGTTCAATGTCTGTTCTGTACACTTACCCAATGATGGACTTATATTCTTCATCGGTCACAAAATGCCCATTGACTAGAATCTCTCCACCAACAATACCAGCCTTGTTACGCCTGGCTAATATATCTAAAAATGTGGTTTTTCCTGCACCAGATCCACCCATGATGGCCAGTACTTCGCCAGGTCTTACAATACCCTGTACACCGTCTAATACGACTATACGGTCTCCTGTAGCGGATACAGGCTGAGGTGGCAGTCCTTCCGCTACACTGGGTCTAGCAGAAGACTGAGTAGATCCTCCAATAGACAAGAATCCAGCACGAGCTTTACGATCTATGACATAGGATAGGTCTCTAAACATCAAGGTACAAGGCACATGATTCGTCATCATGTTTTGTCGTCGAAGCTCAGCCTGCTGTTCAAAGTCAGGCTCCTCTCCATCAATTGGAAGATATCCCTTTGTATCCTTGTCACCTTGTCGCCCAACATACATAACCGATCCAAATACGACGACAATCAATCCTACACCACCAATTGTCAGTAACACTATGACTAGTGGTGAGAATCCTTGACCAGGTGATGGTCGTTCATATCCTGGCAATTCAGAGTAGTGAAGACATTCACCAGAGTGGCAGCTAAGAGTGATATATGGATCACCAAAGAAATCGGCAATCAACTTGTTCATATTGGGTTCTTCGAATCGACACATTCTGGATGGGGTTGGATTTATATTATCCTCATAACACGAGATTTGGCCAGGACCACGAGGTCCTTCATCCGGATCTGTCATCCATTCTGACAAGTCGATAGAATCCTTTTCTCCACATAACATACGTCCAGGAACGCACTTGCATTGGATGCTAGCACATCTATACTTTGATACGTTTCGGGCATACGTGTTTTCTATTGCAGACGAAGGTTGGACTGTGCAGGGAAAAAAAGGAAGCTTCAAGAAGACTAGATACCTTCAATAAAGTCACAGCCCTCCAAAGCGCAATAAAAGCTCTCCTTCTGATCAATCCAAAATTGGAAGGCACAAGCTGCTGACGTCCTGTTACAATCAACGGTGATTTGTGGAGGTCTCTCCTTCAGCAAATCCAAAATTCCCTGGTCTAATGTATATCGTTTCGAGTTAATCCAACTAGTGACACAAGATTAAAATAATGCTTAATACTCAACTGGTTACATCACATTGCATAAAATTTCTCTTGACTACTTGAGTTCCATGGTAGCAAGTTCCATTCTCTTTTCCGATGACCATAGGGTTGCAAGCATTATCTTGTGTGCAGACTAATGGATACGTACGACGGTGTAAAAAATGAAGAATTCCACAAAGAAATTGCAAGGAGATCAAGTACTTGAATACCATTGCAATTGATTCCTTCCCAGCCCTCTGTACAATCACATTTATCACCAGTACGTGGATGCCGCTGATTCCCATCAGCCAAAGAGTCACATACTATAGCGAAAAGGAAATGGTTACGTACGCGAGCAAAAGCGTAAATATCAATTTTCATGATTTTTGCCACGATCTGACTTGTCAATTTAGTCAGCTGACTTGAGCAAGAGTTCCAAAAAATCAAATGACATATAGGACGAGATATAGCAGTGTATAATTCCAGCAATACAGTAGAAAACACGTACAAGGTTGAGAGCAGTCGTCTCCTCCAAAACCAGGGGTGCAGATACATTTTCCAGAAAATGATGAGCAATTTGCGAAATTGTAGCATTCAAATGCAGGGAGCAGACAGTTGAAGCAGTTTGGATCATCGTTTACAGTGCTAAAAGGGTGTAACTGGCTCGTTGGGGGTATGGATACTAGATGCGCTTGATTGCTGTTGGCAGACACACGTTTCACGTTGCCAGCAATTACGACAAGAGCAACAAACAATAGGGGACTTTTCAACCATCGAGGTAAATCTTTCGACATTTTGCGATCCCCCCAGTCTTCCAACTAGTTCAAATATGTTGAGACGTCGAGGTGTTTTGAGTTATTTGTCGGCAGTTCTTCACAACAGATACACGAAGGTTTGCGGCAAGTCGACGGAAAGCTGACACAATGTTTCTAGAGTATTTACGCGTCAAATTGCACAGAACTTTACATATTATTCGGTCGTTAGACTACATTCTTACAAACATTACAGCCAATACATTAATCAATCCAAGCCTTGGAAGTTGGGCTTCACACATACTACAGACTTTCACGCTTTTCTACTCCAGCTTGGAGGTGGCACGTTCTGGACGTGCCCGACACGTCTCATTATCTGTAGAGCCTGGTGATATGAAGTTTCTTGCAGAAAACACTCTGGCCGTAGAGTGTCTGCACTGAGGCGTTTGAAACAGCTCATTTTTACAGGGAAGCTAGCTCCTACGAATGAAATTAGTTAGAAGGTTTTATATGCGCTAGTGCGGTAGCCTGACATGGGGCACTTCTGTAGTTATTATAGCACAGGTCAGTATCCTACCTAAATTTCGGCCAACCTTCAAGTCAATGTGTAAACGAAGCTGGTGTCTAACTTCAAATTCAGGCACTGATATGCTCTGCACAGCAGTCGTGGGTACCAGAAGATCCACGTCCAACACTATTCTGTCGTTTCGACCCTCCTGATTCTTCCACACCCATTTCGATCCCAGATCTGTAGTTCGTGACGATGTTAAGGCAAACTGAGTGTCTGGATTCAAGTGTGGAACAGATCCTTTTGATAATTCAGTTTGTTGCATTTGTTGTAGCACTATATTAAGCGACGACACCTCGGAAGCATCAGCTCGACTGGGCCAATGCAAGAAACATGTGGAAGGCACCTCCCGTTGCCACTGAGGTTGACTGAGTACTCAGCTAATACGAAAGTACATTAGAAGAATTATGCCTAGTAGATATATCACAATGAATTGGGTTTGCACGTGGTCTTTGTAACTTGTCACTATTCTAGCGCAAAGCTCCATTCCTGATATATGTTCGTAATTGTCCAACGTCATGCTCCTTACTTAACCAAATTTCAAACCTTTGATACTCACCACAAATGAGGAGTATCAATCAACGCCAACGACAGCACGCGCTCAAATCTTTCCACACGATCAATCAATACAACATCAACGCTGCCCTTCCAACGACTACGTGATTCTAGCTCGTGAGCTTCCGCCTTTAGCTCATAAGTAGTCTGGACCTTTAAAGATGCGTTTCGAAGGTTAATGAAGAATTTTTCACGTAGTTCAACAAAACAACGGCATAAGATTAAATCCAAACCCGTTCGTGCCTACTTTCACGTGCCCATTACTAAAACTCAAAGAGGCTGGCAAATGTTCACCAATTAGTATGTTGAATGGTATAAAAGTCGACGAAGCATAAGAACCCATCATCACTACTCCTAAATCCTTTTGGATCTTTGCGTGATAATTTCCAACTTTTGTAGCCACGTCAATAGAAACATCTTCCGTTCTTCAACAATCACGGTCCTGCGTATAAGCGTGACACTGATATTATACTTTCTTAATGCTCTAGGCGCCGTCAGACTGCATGCGGTATTTCCCTGGATTTCTACTACAGTGTAATCGATTCCTAAATAGCCGAGCTGGCACTTGAGACTGCTGAATTGTCAATTGTAAGGGTGAAATTTGTCCAAAACTGGCCACTTTCCGGGGCACTCCACTACTCATTTCGGTATTTTATGTTCATACACATCGTAGTTATTCCAAGGCTCATGGTTGCATGTAAAGGCTCTGATGAAATACAGAAACCACTGCTGTTGACTCGTTCCAAGGAAGTAACAAGTCCATCAAGACATAATGCTGAATGCGTCAAGTTAACATACTCTGGGAGGTCGTTGTATAAGATGTCCTTTCCAAAGTCTTCCAGGTCACCGTGATGATTGAATGGAATCAAACACGCAAGAAATGATTCTGACACCAGGAGGCTACAAAAGGGACAATTCAGTCAGTCCGGAATGCTTTTGTGAAGCCGTTACAGCGATTCCTTTGTCGTTTTACTTTCAAGCTGCCGTGGGGACGTCAAGGACGAGGTGTCAATCAAGCCAAGTCTCATAGGCACATTGAACCACGCCAATTGAAAATTTCTTGGTGTAATGCTGATGAAGTCGGGTTTGGCATTGCTTCAGATCCCAGGCCATTAGTTGGGAGCTAGCCTTATAGTAGTTATTGTTCGTTTTGAGCAATCAGTGAAAAGTTCACGATAACGAGGAACTATTCGTGGATGTTGATACTTATTCATAATATCTTTTCTACAAAGCAAAGGTTTCCACCTATATTTCTCAAGCAAGCTCAGCCCTCCGCACGTATTTATAATTTTCAATTCATATAGTCAACCATGGACACACCACTCCTTCACCATTGACTCAACCATCAATTCTGCAACATCAAGTCATATAGTCAGCCAGGGACACTCTACTTGTTCACCATTGGCCCATTCAACAAAGTTTGCACCATGCCGATTGCGCAAATGATTTCTAAAGTACTCTTTACAAGTGTAGTCGCATTATTGCATATCAAGTATTTCCATCGGATAACTAAGTGGTCCTTATCGTGGTGACGAGCCACGTACGACGTGCAGCGGGCTACAAATTTGCATAGAGCGCACTAATAGGTATTGGAATTGTATTGTTGGTATTAGTATGGTTGGTAATAGGTCCGTATTCGTCGTGGTCTGTATCATCTTCATCCTTGTCTTCACCGAAAGCATGCTCTTTGTCGTTATTATGGTCGTGTCCACTATCTTCCTGATCATCATCATCATCATCATCATCATCATCATCATCATCATCATTATTATCGTCGGTCATGGGATCATCCTTGTCAAGAGTAACATCGGCATGGTCATCATTATTATGATTGGTATGATCATGAGTTGAGCAGATTGGGTAAGCATCTCGTTGGCAGTCAAGCTGTGGTTTACTGGAAGAGTCTGTCCGAGTAAACGATGATGGTTGATGAAAGCAGACACTGCTATTACCGGCACTCTCTGCATCGGCTGAGATGGATTTAGAGCCTAAGTCAACTTCGGCTTAACAAAGGATGCGTAGGAATGAAGGGAAAGCAACAGAGACTTGGCATAGCATCGATGCGGTCGACATTGTTCAATTCAATCTCGGGAGGAGATGATGATGAAGATGATGATAATGATGATGCCGTATTGCAGCGATACCTTGGTGTTGAAAGGGAAAGCCGATTTGAGCTGCAGTTTGAAGTTAGTTTGGTCAGAGACGAGTGACAATTTTCAAAGAGCAAAAATGTAGCCAAATACCAAATACCTCTTCGGTCTGGATGGCGTTGCAAAGATGTTGTAGTCACTGGTGGTGAAAGTGTACATTTGTGTACAGTAGCTCTGTGTCTATTGTTCGTAGATCAAAGAAAAGAAGTTTGTAGTAATTGATCAGAGAAATCTTCTTTGCCCTGTATTTGGTGGTGTTGGATAATCACTTTCGTGATGATAGGCGTAATATGATGTAGATCTTTGGGTTTGTGGTTGTGGTTGATGTCGACAGCATTGTGTTTGTACAGCAACGAGTGAGCATGTCGTCAAAATGTTCAGTTGAGTACAGAGTAGATCGTACATCGTAAGTAGCCTTCGATGCTACGAAATCATTGAAAGAATGGCCATGGAGTTCCAGATTTTTGCAAATACCTGGATCTTTTTCATAAGCACTACATCAGACCTCATCTCCATAGTCTGCGTGTTTCCTGGGAATCTACATTTCTATATGATGAGCTGCTTCGCTCTGGTTGGGAAACTGCTGTTGTCTCAGATCTTGTCACACATGATCACTTCGAAGTTTTTGGTCGACCGGAGGTAGGCGCAAGCTATTACAATGAGGAAAGAGGACATTACAAGTATGCAATGATACAAGTTTTGTTTTCGATGAATCCCCCAGGAAGGCTCTCTGCCTCTGAAGTGTGCCTTCATGTTCAGTGATTCTTCGGTCGATGACAGTCAAAAGCGAAAAACGAAAAAACACATCGACCTTCTGAAAGCGTACGAGATTGCAAGAGACCCGCATATTTCACCTCGTCATTACCAAGGTTGCTTGAAATGAACGCTCCCGACGCTTGGGGTAACAGATATCTCAATAATTTAGGGCAAACAAAGAAAAAATGGCAGATTACCTCTCATATCGAGTTTTGGTAAGAGCGAGTTCGAATATGAAGATCATATCATTGCCTTCATATCTGTCTTTCATCCGCTATATATACCATTCACCAATATACTGACTGTTCCCACTCGTTGCAGGCCAGATTGGGACGGGAAGGCAAAAATCGATTATAGAGTGGTTGCAAAGTGCCTGCACTGCTCAAAGTACTGGAAGCATCCTACATTCAGAGAGACTGGAAACGAAGGTCTCGGAAAGCTGGGAAAGCTACCTCAATGTGAGTCGGTCTTACAAGTCGTACCACCACCACTTTTTCTTTGAACGCCTAGAACGAACGCAATGCATAACGATACTCATGCCGATATTCATTGTTATAGACAATATTAGCAACATACTAGTACATTTGAGTCATGTCCATGCTATCAATCCAGACAGTGTGTATCCTGGTCAAAGTCAATGAGCCACAACAAACTCTGCTAAACCTTGTCAATTTTAGGTGGAGAGGAGGCAGAGTCCGAAGGATCGATGATAACTGGTAAGCTCGCATGCAACAAATTAACTAGATTGAATCTCATACCCTTCTGTTTTGATAGCTCCAAAGCCACTTCCAAGTAATGTCGTTCGCTATTCTATCAATAGGTTCCATGACTAACCTCGTTTTCCTTCCAAAAGTTCCAGCCGCTCCACCCATACAAGCCTATACATATCAACAACCAGTTCCATCCGCTTTTTATACACCATCCCTCCCATCATCACGTGTGTCTGTGCCAGAAAGTCGAGTGCCTTTATCTATGCCATCCAAGCTTCCAGATTGGGCACATTACAAGGATCGAGTATGTGATTATAGGTCTTTTGAATGAATTGTTATTTGACGCCTCCCTGTTGTACATAGGAATCATCCACCAAGAACTTTTTCGAGTTCTTCAAACAAAAGCACCTTAACGGTGAGGATGAGGTCAATCGTCAGTCATGGGTAGAGGCAATCAACACACTGTTGAAATTCAAACCTATGGATTTCACATTTTTTGTCGCTGATGTATTATTTCTACTGCGACAGGTAAAACTTTGGATTTTTCAAACCTTCCTGTTCTACCATCTCATCCTTCTCAACAATTATAGAATGAATGGGAATGGGGAGCATTTCTCGGAGACTGGAGCTTTGACGAGTTGAGCCAAGCAATCACTCGTGCTGAAAATCCTTGTGCCTTCTTCACTGATATGTTGCAGTGTGGCTTCGCACCAACTGGCGTAAGTTAAGGCTTGGTAGTTGATTTTTCAGTAATCTAGTCTACTGCATCTAGCCTCCTCGCATTAATATTCGATGTGATACTTGAAAGCTGAACAACTCGTCATGATAGAATGCGCATGTTCTATCTGACAAGCTGAGACTACAACCTTGTCCGTCAGCTCATCAGCTAGCAACAATATTCGAACGTGTCAAATCGGTTCCAACATGGACCAAATTTGTCTGTTTATTGGCAGTTCGTGTCTGCTGGCAGATTGGGTAAGACTGTTGTGTTGATACTGTGTTGATACTGCACAAGTGCTAATTAGACGTTTATTCCTCCTTTGGCAGAGTGTACAGTGAATCTTCGTATCCTCAACAGCCTACTCAGCAACCATTTTTATACTCATCATCCATTCCCCCACCACCAATGCCATATGTAAACGGTCAGTCACACACGAATCCAGTCGTCCCTATATCCCCTGCTCCTGGTATGATGGAAGCCGCAAACGAATATATGCCCCCCAAGGCCACAAATGATTGGACTGGGAATTACAATACCCATGGCGGGAGTTACAACAGCAATGTCAACAACATTCACGCCAATAGCAGTAACCACAACTTCAACATGTATGATCCAACCTCTACCCCCAACTTCCAACCGAAATATGATAGTAGAATCCCTGAAGACTTCGAAACAAATAATACTGCCTCCAACCACCAACCGAAATACGATAGTAGAATACCGGAAGACTGCGACGAGACCGAACCAGATATCGAAACAGAAAATATCGATTCAAGTTTCCAAGCCAAAGCAGTCGACAGAAACGACGAAGATTTCGTCGCTGCTGGTATACTGTCGAAATTATTTGAGAGTTCCAAGAGCCAATCCGAGTCTGGTATATTGTCGACATTACGCGAGAGCTTCAAGGGCCTATCCGAGTCCGCTGCCTCGCATAACAGTCCATCTAGCGTCCTGCTCCCAAGTCGAATTGTTCGAAGTGTTGTGGATACAGGGTAAGCTAGTGCCAAATACTTGAAATAGTTTGCTTCGATTGAATCTAACATATTTCATAACAACTAGCGGACCGACATTGAGGTTGCCAGAACCTCCAACTACCCACCGCATGCCAATCATAGATAGTGATTCTGAAGAGACTCCCAATGGAGGTGACAAGGCAAATGACTCTATGGAGGTGGATCCTGCTTCATGCAAGAAAGAAACTGTCGATTCCACAGATAATACACCGAGAAGCCAAAGTTATAACCAAGGAGAAATTGTGGACTCGCCTCCTCACCACTCTTCTGATGATATGGAAGAGGATGAAGGACCAGATGTACATGATGCGCATGATGCACATGAGCAGGAAACTTATCGTCGAGTCCGTAAGTAGAGCCAACGTTCGTGCTTTGAAGTTATACAGCGACTGACGCATATTTTACCAATTGCAGGACCACGACGAGAAGCAGCTCATGCAGCAATTTCAGATGCTATGGCCTATCGAGAGTAAGACAAAATGCAGTTGAGGTGTTTTGAGTTGCTAACGCTCAACTGGTTTTGTGTTTATAGTGAAGCTGCTGGTGGTGGTGCTAGCAGGGGCAAAAGCAAATCCTCGAGGTACCATTGTGAGATGTGCAATTATAGCTTCACCAGAGGATCCGACTTGAAACGTCATATGACTATACATGGTGTTGGCAAACCACAGTATCCGTGTACCGTCTGCAACGTATCATTCACGAGGAAGGATAACCTCAATGCTCATATGCGAAGGAAGCATAACGGTTGAAGTTATATAGTAGCAATTTTTCGCTGTACTCTATTGAGATTTATATATACAAGATTTAGGGAAAAATCGCGTCCCTGTTGCATTCGCGGTTTTGCAAAGTCAACCACCGCTAACGGGACACGTCGCGGCTCGTTGCACAAGCTGATACACTGGAACTAACACTCTCATTGTGGACAGTGTGTCAAGCAACTGCGTTTGGTAAGGCTTTCGAGAGTTTGTGTATGGATTGAAAAGCTGTGAGTTTCAAACGCGAACTTGAACGACTTGGAGATACCAAAGTAAGAAAATCTGCGAACTTCTGACTGTAAAGAAGTTTCAGCAAGCTTGGCACTGGATTGTTTGGGCACATGTGCATCGAAAACTTGCAACATTTCGACAGTTTCGTGAACATCACTAAAGCTCCTCTTTCACTTCAAACTTAGTGAACAGTCGCTGACCGAGTCCTTTCATATTGCTCTCGGACTGATCCAGTTCCCTTCTTGCTTGAGAGATTCTGACTGGGGTCTGACTCGGCTTACGTTGCTCTCATTAGTTTCATCGGCTTCTCTTTTGAGCGATCTAGACTGATATGGCAGATCCTTTAGAGGTTATCATACAAAACAATCTGCTCTTCAATGCCATCTGCAAGAAATTCCCACATTACATATCAAACATCCACGTGAATGATTGGACTTTATGTCTGCCAGCTACCTCAATCCAAGCCAATTCTATCAGTGAGGAGTTTGTCGCAAGTGAGTGCAATCCTGGAACAGATTGTCCTCATAAGAAGCGTGTGATTCAAACCTCTTTTATTTCTTTTAGCTCATGTCTTGAGACCAACATACAACGAGGACGAGTACACAACTGTAAACAATAAGCAGGTTTATTTGCAGGACGGGACTATTCGAACTGGACAAGGATTTCCTGTTGAAAGAATCTCTCACGTATTGGCGGATATTCTATACCGAGACGACATTGTGAAACCCATCAATGTTTATCTAGTTGACGTCCCGTTTATAAAGCCTGACGTAGAGGAGATAGACTATCATCTGGCTGAATCGGCAGCAACATTACCGATTCTACTCAGAGAAATCAGAAGCGATGTGGAGCTCAATGAGATTGATGGAGCAATTGCTCAATTTAACGATCAAGTGATTACTCTGACAGAACTGGATGCTTTACTTGCTGAGGTAAGTTTCAGAGGCGGCGAGCAAACTTCTTCCGCGTATCTGACCGTTGATTTGTTGTAGATCAAGAAGCTGCTTGGATTTTGCTTCGAGAGAATTGCCTGTCTACATGAACGAATAGAGCCACTTCTTCATCGTCTAAATTTATCTGTAGACACACTCTATCAAGTCACAGAAACTTACGTGATGGAGAACACGTATGAAGTTTGCTACTTCATACTACAAAGGGCTCATCGTAACGAGGATGCCGACATGGCAGACGCTTTGAGTCGAATACAGCATCTTGATATCAATCAGATGGGACTGAGATTCAACTATGGGAAAAACGTCGTCGCTGCTGTCACAGAATTCAAGTCTATATCGCTACTGCGTACGCCGTTTGAAAAAATAAAGAAATTGATGAGGAGCATATACGCTCTGACTGGATCAGGTAAGTGTCGTGACGAGTACCATTCCCATTTTCGGGTGATATTCAGATCCGCTTTGCAACTATTAGATCCAACGATGACTAGCGACCAACTTATACCCTTAATGATCTTTATGTTGATACGGTCGAATCAAGTAAATCTTTTGTCCACGTTATATTATATGAAGACATTCATCTTCGAGCACGATATTATATCAGGAGAATTGGGCTACGGATTATCCACATTGGAAGCTGTGATTTCTTACATCACGAATAATAAAGACAGTTTGGCCGATCTGTCTATAAAGAACCTTGCTTTCTGGGGTGCTGTGATTAGTGGCGATGTCGAAGAAGTAGGACGAATGTTAGATCTAGCAGGATATTCTATAGTATCGCAACAGTCGCTACAGTCGCCCCCATCACCTTCGAAATCGTCGTTTCCATTCCAGGAAGACACGCTCATGTGGGTCTCCGTCGTAAATTCTCGAGATTTTGATGGAAATAATGCGTTGCTCTTGGCTGCTCAAAATCGTCAATTGCCTGTAGTATCTACATTATGTCAATCTTATGTGGCGTGGAGAACCTACTTGGAAGATGCAGCCATAAATCTGAACGTCCGAAGAATTTCCAGCGAATATCAACATCCTGGAAATCCTGATACCTACAACTATACCCTAAATACATCCCTGCACCTCGCTGTTATCTTAAATGACTTCGCTCAGGTAGACTTGTTGCTCGCACAAGATGCGAGCATAGACAAAAGCAATGAGAATGGAGAAACGCCACTTATTATAGCATGTAGACTGCAGAATATAGAGATGATTGATAAACTAATTCAAGCAGGAGCCGATGTAAACGCTGCCACGTCAAACGGCACGACCTGTTTACATCTAGCCAACCTGGAAATGGTCCGTTTGCTTCTATACCTCCCGCATATAAATCCGAATATAAAAAACCTTGAAGGTTTGACGCCGTTACTGTACCATTGTCAACACGGACGACAACCGATCGTCTCTGTGCTTGTCAAAAACCCAAAAGTCGATATAAATAGTAAAGATCTAGGGCACAGGACAACTCTTCATCTATGTTGTTTCCGTGGATACTCTGTCTTGGTCGAACAGATTCTGTCTCGTGGGGAAGAAGTGCTTGTCGATGAGACCTCACTCAAGGGAAATACTGGCTTGCACGCAGCAGCAGATGCTGAACACATAGAGATTGTTTTGATGCTCTTGCAATTTGGAGCTGATCCTGTAACTCAGTGTCATTTATATATTCCCAATGCATATTTGGTTAACTGATAATCTGACCTTCTTGCATCACTTAGACTGTTAGGAATCTGCAGGGCAAAACCGCTGCTGATCTTGCCAAGAACGAAGATATACGAGAGCTATTAGACGATTATTCTCTGTTTCGTTCTGGAGAGCATAAACAGCAAGAACGGGTAGCTTCTGTGGCAAGAGCCATTCCACTGCTGCACGACAAAATAGTGCTCGTCGTCAAATCTGGACTTTATCCCGATATATCGTCAATTACCACTGTACATAGAGAACTACAAGACTTTGCACTCTTAAGGCAGCAACTGCTAGTAGAGCGGCCCGAAGCATGTCTGCCAGAGCTCAAGGACCTCGTGAATCATCCTGCATTTGGCGTTGGTGTCAAACCCGGCGAAGGATTGTCGCAACGACAACTCCGACGTCTTGTCAGACGTTTGCATAGATTCTTAAACTTCTTACTCCAACATCCTGTATTCAGACACTCAGAACTCGTATGGGAATTCTGTGTTGTCACAGACATTGAAGTAGATATGATACTATCCAGGACAAAACTGAAGGTAGAGCATGAACAGGAGCAGGTCGCCGATACAGTATCGCCTGTAATCCGGGATTTAGAAAACGACACGATATGGAGAAATGCGGATACGACTCTCTCGATGCTAAATATTGATGTGAAGCAGACAGGACTTGCTGCGAAGCGACTTGGAAAGGCTCGTAAAGGTAGGGTTGTTTCTGGATTTAGTGCGTTCCCATGAAATTTGAGATTGTTGACCTTTTCCTATTTTAAACCCCAGATATGTCGAATCAGATACGAACGTTACGATGGCATGTTGGCCGTCCATCGTCTCTCATACTCGAATCTAGCATCAAATCTTCGATGGTAGATTTGATGCGAAAAGTGACAGACGTGATGGGAAAGCAGGTAAGGAGAGCAAAGATCGTCTGAGCACACATATCTACTCGAGCCTCCATTCCATCCTAGACCTACTCCCATCTTCTAGATCTAAATCGTTCTTTCGTAGAGTTTGGAAGATGTATGGGATATCGGTGAACCCATATACGAATCGCATCATGATTTCGGACTGAACGTGTTGAAGAAGCACGAAGATCGTGTCCACACATATACAGATGCTGCCGCAAAAGTAGCAGCTCATGTAACTACCATCTCTCGATTGGAAGCCGTACCAAAAGCTCTTGGGTCCATGATACCGTCCATCTTTACGGGATTTTCCGACGATGGTAGAGCCAAGCGACTGTCTGAAATGTACTTTCAGCTGGAATCTCTTCAACAGGCCGCAGATAAGACTGCATCTTTGCTAAATCATGGAGACTCGCAGTTGATTCAAGAATTGTCTTTTTTTCACAAGAAACGTGCCGACGATATTATTCGTAATCTTCAAAATTATGCTTCACGGCAGCTAGCTGGTGAGAGAACTGTCAAAGACGCCGTCACAGATGCCATAAGATCTTTAGATGGTTATTCAGCCACGAAGGCTCAACAAGCCTCTCGAGTATCTATAGTAGGAGCAAACACAGACGACCTTATTATAAGACAAGAGGAGCCTAGTGAACGAATTGAAGAGATGGAAGAATCCTTTAATGGATCTGGCGCAAATACTCCATTTACCGATGAATAGAATAGATTAGTAGTAGTAATGCAAACTGTATTATTGACATGTAAATATTGTAAACGTTATATATATATAATTGTGGCATGATGGCTCAAGCTGACTTGCCATCACTATTGGATTCTGGAGCTGTGAGCTGATACTTCCATCCCTTGATAGGTGGAGTCTCTGTTGGCACCCTTAATCTGCGAGGAAATACCAATACAGGCTGTGGCGATTGTGCATCGCCTTCAGCAGTAGTATTGTCTGGGGTGCTAGTTGCTGGATGTAGGTTTGTTCCTCGTTCAATACGATTATTTGCTACAGCACCTTCAAACAATCTAGAATCTATAGACTGTAGAGCTTCCATAGCCTTCCTCATTGCGGTATATTTCCTCTTGACCTCATCTACGATGGCGTGCTTCTCATCCATTTTCTTTACAGCCCATGCCCGTTCAATGGTGTCCTTGACGGGCTTAATATGGGCTACATCCATCTGTGGAGGCAGTCCATGAGGCATGTGGGTCGGTTTTGTGGTTTCTGCATATAATATATCTCTGATGGCTGCTACTCTCTTGTCTGTGACATCGAGCTTTCGTGCTTTTTTGCTGCTTGACGATGATGTTGTTGAGTCGTATCTGTACTGGGAAAGGAGGGCCGTGCATCTCTGCATCTGACGGCGACCTAGGCTATTCATTATGTGCGATTCGTGGGTTAAATATGAGGGAGATGCTGATTGCTATCTCGTTTGTGTTTTCTGAAGAATAAGCAATATTCATGGGCCAGGAATAACAGCGTGGTTCAATATCGTGGCGTCTATATAGTTATGCCTTTAAAGTCGACAGGATCATAAAGTGCAGAACAAACAAGACAGAAAGTTACAGATTTTTACGATGCTGATTCAAAACCTGCTATCTACAGCAAATGTTGAAATTTGGGAGGGCCAAATCTTTGACCTTGAGTTTCCTCGTTGCTGAAATCTCTGATTTATCCTTGAATCGTCTGTCAGACGACAGACGAGACTCTTCTTTTTGAACAACGCCAAAAATGTCAACGGTTGCATGAATTCACGAGGAAGGCAGGTCTATTCATGATCGAAACGAGCTGCAATTGATTTGAATATGCAATCTACGCGTGTTGGCTTCTCATTCTCGTCATTACCCATCGTTTGTCCCCTGCGCCTCTCAGCACCGCATATATGGCTCGTACTACGTTTTCAACAAAACCTCTCTAGCGACGTGTCAGTCTTGGAAGGGTAGAGTAATGAGAATGAATTCAGTTTTGTCTATATCAGAATCTATGAATCCAGTGTCTGCTATTTGCCAAAAGTATTTAGATCTGGAGGAACTCAACCCCAGGCGAATACGTGTCAATGGCAGCCAGTAAGGTTCAGTTCGCGTCAAAACAAAACGATTTACATGGAAAATTGTATTTGATAACATTGAAGGAACAGTTTATATATGTTCATACATATGGTATTATGACTTGCTTAACTCGACAATTTTCTCTTGCCAGGTGCACAAGGACAAAGTTTGAGGACGACGGAGTGAAATAGAGCAGACGACGCTTGAAACATTCAGATACCGCGTATACACATCCATAAGATAAGTTTACATACGTTTCATCATGCCAAGTAATCGTCAAAGCTCTACTAGTAATCCTCATCGTTCCCCTCTATAGAGGGAAGACCCATAAGAAAGCGAAGAATGAAGTCCCCAGGCTACAAGGAGTGGCCAACATGGCTATGGATATGAATATTGTTTGCGGAGTCGAACCCCTATAATGGTATGCCTCTTGATGTTCTCTGCAGCAATCATTACATTCGCTGCTTTTAGAGTAGGATTCGAAAGTCGAAGAGTTCAACAAGCTCCTCCAATCCAAGACGATAGAATGCATACCAAGTTCGATGACGCCAAATCACTTGTTTCAATCCACAGTTGGAGACCCTTATGCGCCAGAGGAGAGAATGACATATGGACTGACTTCCGATTAAAGACCATTTGGGCCCAGGAGGCAGCGTCGTATGACGTCGTATGTAGTAAAGATATGCCGTATCCATTGGATGGTCCATTTACTTCAGCAGTAGCACGCCAAGTAGCAGCTGAAGATGCCGTAGTCATAGTATTCGAGCGACCCAAGAACCTCTGGTTTAATTGAGTTAAGTGTGTGTACTCTCGGTTCTCAGAGATATGCCAATGCGATTGTGGATGCATTGGGCCACGACATATTTCAAGGAACTGTCTTGTCGGTTCGAAAGACCTTTGATTATCATAAATCCCTTGGGAGGGAGCCAAAGGTATCCAAATATGTGCGTGAGCTCTATCCACACCTGGCAGACCCTGCAGCAGGGCCATTCACACCTCTCGTGCTTGACGACAATCGCAAAGTCTGGAGAGATTATAAAGAGTTTGTCATACCAGTTCGAAGGGTTCCAGACATATTGTGGGACATTGATTGTGAGACCATCGCCAGAAGATTCGAATATGTCTACGAAGAGTTCTTCAATAGTCAAGATCGTCGAAACTTGTTATGGATTTGTGAAAGGAATCAGCTAGCATATTGGATGAAGCTAGTACCAGCAGTAATTAGAATAATTTGTCGTCATTGAGGTGGGAAGGGTGGGATACTCAGTAGCGGATACGTCCGAGTGCGGAGGTATTGCTGGTTGAAGGGGGGACCGTTCTAGATCGTTTCACTTTGCTGCATATATTTGTGACACTAATGGTTGATTCCTTTAGTCTTGTAGAGTTTAGGATCCAAATCAGGTGTAGCTCTGAAGACTTTGGCTATTGTTGTAGTGGCTTCGTCCGAGAATCGAGGTATTGATGCTGGATGAGAGATGTGTCAAACTAGCTTTTGCGTTTGCCGAAACTGGTGATTGCAATATGGCAGAGTCCTCGTTGTTGTAGTGGTGGAGAGTGCTTTGGCTTTTTCGAATTCGCAGCTCGTCAGAAGCCAAAAGATTCTAATGCGGCCAACGCCGGTTCTCAGCCCGGGTATAAGACATAGAGGAGAATCTAATTGGGTAAGCATTGTGAGAATATGAATGGTGATGAGCTTAATGGTCGATACCAAAGTGTCACCTTTGGCAAGTGTTGTGGTCGATGCTATACGTGGTTTACCTTCAACCACAAACGAAACTGGCAGTATCATAAGACCACTCAGGCAGTGATGCATACAGCTTTGATAATCAAGCGATTTGGTGGGAGATTTCTAGATGTAAACTCAGAAATTAATAATACGTTGGCATTTTTGTTACAAAACGTAACCTGGACTCGAGTTTTTCGTTGCACCCACCGGCGAGTCCAGACAAAGATCAAATCCACCAAAATATCATCGAGAGCGCTGTATCTTTGTAATTGTATGACTCTTAAATTGTGTAAAATGAATATGCGTGAAATTTAGTACGTTGATGCTTCCAGAGCCGACCGTTCGCTAGCGGTTCTTACATTCAACATACCGAGAATGCTCTTCCCTGAGATAGAAGAGTCTTCCATTAGACAGAAACCGTACGGTAGCGCGTCTGAAATTATCTCCAAAATATCACCACACTGCCTCCAGTAGTGTAAATTTGACAGGCCATTTGCATTGAATTTCCATGCGGTCGGTCCCTCGTAGCAACTGAAATCTTCATTAAACACGTAATGAATACCTGAGGACTACTCTACGCTCGCTCTTATGCCTCCCAAATAGCTTTTCAGGACGTGGCGAGTTTTTTTTTTTTGCCAAACTCGAGCTCGAGTAGTGTACTCAAACACACTGAAAAAAACAAGATACAAACAGACATGGTTACCGGAGGGATGCTAGTGCTCTATGAGACTCCAGCTGGATATGCGTTGTTTAGAATGGCAGATGATGGCAAGCTATCAAATCCAGACGATATACACAAGCACTTTGAAACTCCTGTCAAGGCTAACGAGACGTAAATTTTTGGTTGTTTATTTGATACAGCAATCAAGAAAAGAAGCTAATCTATCAAATCTACTATTATAGTGTCAAGCTGAAAGCCTTCCAGAAGTTTGATAATACAACAGATGCGCTGTCGGCAGTCACAGCATTGGTTGAGGGCAAAATGTCAAAAAATCTGAAAAAGTTTCTGAGCGACGAGCTGTCGGATATAGATTTAAAGGGAACTTTGGCTGTTGGTGATCCAAAGCTAGGTATGAAACTGAACGTGTGGCTTTATATTGGCTCAAACAAAATTATGTGCTGAAAAAAAAAACTCGACACTTGGTACAGGAGGTGCAATTGCCAAAAAGCTGGGCATCAAAGTCGTATCAGATAGCACAGTGAACGAGTTATTTAGAGGAATAAGGTCTCAATTGAATGCTTTGGTCTCGGGTATCGCTGAAGCAGACATGAATGCTATGGTGCTTGGTCTATCACACTCGCTATCCCGATACAAGCTCAAATTCTCTCCAGATAAAGTCGACACGATGATTATTCAAGCCATTCATTTGCTGGATGACTTGGACAAGGAATTAAACACATATAGTATGCGAGTCAAGGAGTGGTATGGATGGCACTTTCCCGAAATGACCAAAGTAGTGGTGGATAATCTAGCATATGCCAAGGTAGTCAAAACCATGGGATACCGCTCGAATGCATCTACAGTCGACCTCAGTAGCATCCTGCCCGAAGAAATAGAAACCGAAGTCAAGGACGCTGCTGAAATATCCATGGGTACTGAAATCAATGAAGAGGATATTGAAAACATTACTTACCTCTGTGATCAAATCATATCCATATCCGAGTACCGAGCCCAATTATATGATTATTTAAAAAACCGTATGGCTGCTATTGCTCCCAACTTGACCTGTCTCGTTGGCGAGTTGGTTGGAGCACGACTGATTGCCCACGCCGGATCATTACTCAACTTGGCTAAATATCCAGCATCGACAGTCCAGATCCTCGGTGCTGAAAAGGCCTTGTTTAGAGCTTTAAAGTCTAAACACGATACACCTAAATACGGGTTGATTTATCATGCTTCGTTGGTTGGCCAAGCGTCATCCAAGATGAAAGGAAAGATTGCCAGGTCTGTTGCTACAAAGGCTGCGTTGTCAATACGTGTAGATGCGTTAGGTGAAACTGAGCCAGGACAGGAACCATCTGTAGAATTAGGTTTGGAACAACGAGCCAAGGTCGAAGCTCGTCTTAAACAGTTGGAGGGTCGTGGTAAAGCTAAAGAGTTGGGAGGACCGTCTCCTAGTCAGTCGCGAGGTCCCAAGTCTTCCAAGATGAATACGTCTGCGTAAGTCTCTCTCAGTGCGCTATAACCTACCAGAAGCTTTTTTTTGCTTTCGCTGAAACTGCCAGCTCGCATTTAACATTTATCCTTATATAGCGTCAAAAACTACAATAATGCATCCGATATATTACTAGCAGGCCCAGAACCAACATCATCAACAAAAACCAAACGAAAGCACTCTGAAACCAATGGTGATTCAGTCGCTGCTGCACCCATAACGGAAGGAGAAGCACCAGCGGCGGAAGATACCGCAGCTGAAGGCAAGAAGAAGAAAAAGTCAAAAAAGGAAAAGAAGGCTGCTGTCGTTGAAGAAGTAGAAGCACCAGAACCAGTAGTAGAGCAAGTAGCAGAATCTGATGCAGCTGAAAGTGGCAAGAAGAAGAAAAAGAGGAAGGCAACTGAAGAAGCTGAAGTCGTTGTTGAAGCACCACCTGCTGCAGTAGCTCATGATGGTGGCGAAGAACCCAAAAAGAAGAAGAAGAAGAAACAGAAGACCTCTGCTGACGAGTAAAAAGATACACCACACATATGCACTTTTGCCCAGTTTCTTTTTTGTTTAGTATAGTTTGCACACAATATCACAACCATAGAAAAGTAGAGGAGGCACACTTGGATGTTTTGTTTACAAATGCTAAGATTTTGTTTGTTCAAAGTGGGTACTATACACAAGTCACGAGTTCTTTATTTTTCGGTTTGCTTCTGTAATTGTAGTTCTGCTTCAACTCGTAGTTTGCGTTCTCTGGCCAACGATATTTCCAACGACGAGATCCGCTTTTCAAGTTCATCCACCTTTTCACGGTATGACGGTGCATTGTTATTCAAGTAAGCATCTAGCTGTGCTCGATTATCTTGCATAGATTTTGTCCTGCAAAGGACGGAGAGGTTTGTTAGAGATGACCTCAGACACTCAGCTGTGTTTGAGTAGACACCAACCTTGGCAGATTGCCTTGTTGCTCTGCGGCGATTATGTGCTTTTGTTGTGCCAACATGACCTAAAGAGAATACTCTGGTGTGAGCGATCTATGCTATACTTTTTTTTCTTTTCACAAATGCAACTCACAGATTCTGCTTCCTCCAACTTTCGCAATACATTCGTCAAATCCATGCTGACGTCGACCTTGTCCGAACGTTCAGTAGTGAATGCTGATCGATACTGTTCCAATTCCACATCCAATTTGGCACTAACGGTTAGAAAATAAGTCAACAGTGGGTCAAATAAGAATCTGCCAGGATCAGCAAAGTATCAAGTGAGAGTCAGGCCAATCAGGCCAGGACAGTCATCATACGTGAATCATCGTACGTGAAACATTCTACTGAAACATGCTACACTATGTCGTTCCAAGTCATTAAGCATACCTGCGTTCCCGTTCCTTCTTGAGTAGATGAGCAAGCTGCTTTTCAGCATCAGTAGCATTCTGATTTTCCACATAAGCATTGAGCTGCATGGATTCAAAGTCATCCTCCAGACTTCGCACTTTCTCGTCCTTTATCTTTAACAATAGTTCCAAGCGAGCGAGCTTCTTTCTAGCATCTTGCAGCTCTGACAATAGCATGTCGCGCCCAGCAGCTTCCAAGTTTGCATTGAATGTATTGGCGTGAGTGTTTCGTCCATGTGATTTCTGTAGGTGAGCAGCAGTAGAATTGTTGTTGTTGTATGACGCAGCCCCTACGCCGAGTAAGATGCCAGCCCCTGTGACTATAGGATCCTTGCCCCTCAGCTGGTTGACTGGTTTGTTTACATCAGTCTTGAATGGCGTAGTTGGCAAATGTGAGGTTGATGTCGATGGTTTCAGGCCGTAACGAGAGATCGGTTGGGCTGGAGAGCTGAATTCAGTAGTCCAGGCAGGTCTGGGAGATTTACTGCTACTGTGATTACTGCCAGGCGATGAGGTTTGGGTTGATGTTGTTGGATTTGTCTCATGTAGAGTGACTCGTTCAGCTGGCAGACCAAGACGAGTTTTGACTCGTGTAGGAGTAAGGCTATTGCCCGAAGATAACATTACTTGTTAATTTCTGACTTGGAACGATAGTGTTGGTCAACTGGAACTAATTCTGTTTGATGAAACTTTTGTTTGCTGCTGAAACATCAAGCTTGAGATCTAGGACAACCAGGAGAGAACCGGTAAGTGTGTCTTAAAATATCGATTCTGTATCGTATCATTCGCCATTTAATCGCCGCTAATCGTCCTCGTTCTTTAGATCAAAATGCCACTAGTGCCGAAAATTTCGCCCGCCGTTCGTGAGGAGGAATGCTTGAAGGCTAAAGCATGGCTACAACATTTGGCGGATTCTTGCAGACAATCAGACGTAGAAGATGCGCCTGCAATTGGACTGATCCAATCTTTGCTGGCTGAGACGTATGCTTTTGGTGTTGGCATTATATCACAGACAGACGTAGCTCATTCTTCACCCCGCTCTTCATAAAAGGGATGATTCGATGCCTCCAACTGCTTTAAAGTTGATGGGAAATGAGGCGCCACTTCGAGAACAGGTGCCATTGTAGTGTACTTTGTGTGTACGGAGGCTATTTGCTCACCGCCTTCTCCAATGCACTCACTGTAGAGACTAGATGACACCACGTTAAGAGTCTTGATAACGCCACTCTCTTCGGTGCCGCTGTTCAAGAAGCTGGAACTATCCTACAACAAAATTGGTGATGACGGTGTAATGGAGCTGGCGCAATTCTTAACGGTACAGGACACTCATGCATTGTCGCCAGCCTAATATGCTCAATTTAACACGTATTCTGGTAGGAGGACAAGTTTCTTGAGACCATCATACTGAAATCCAACAATATTGCGTCGGATGGTGGCAGTGCACTCGCTCATGCCTTGACTTTGAATGATCACGTCAAGGAGTTGGATTTGAGTAATAACGACATAGGAAAAGGAGGTGGAATGGATCTAGCGAGCATGCTACAGGTGTGTGTTGAGATCATGCCTCGTTCAAGGCCTGACTTTTTGGCGTTAAATCTAGTTGAATACAACGCTACGAACCCTGAATTTGAGTGGCTGCTCACTCACACTGGATCCTCTCATTGCCTTGGCCACTGTACTTCGAAACAATGCCACTATAACTGTGTTGGACTTGTCTGACAACGCATCACCTACTTCATCAGCCACTCAATCTCTCCAGAATGCATTCACATCTCATTGGAGTCGTACTCTTCGTGTTAACTCGACATTAAGGGAGTTGAGGTTACGTAAAATGGGGTTGACTGATTGGGGTGTTGTAGATGATTTTGCCTCCGCTGTTGGTGCAAATAAGGGTTTGAGAGTTCTTGATCTTAGCGGGTAGGTTTAAATAGCAATATCCTTTGCAAGTTGGCCTATGCAAAAAAAGAAGCTGACCGGAGGACGCTTCATAGAAACAAGATTACTCAAGACGGATCCTGCAAGTTGTTCATGGAACTGAGACAACAACCTTACTTGAGATCCCTCTTCCTATCGAGCTGTAAAATTCAAGATCAAGGAGCCGAAGAGTGCCGAAAAATGTTGATGAGCAACACGGTGCTCAAAAAGTTGACTATTGATAACAATGGGATCACCAGTGTTGGACTAAAAGCTATTGCACAAGCCTTCCAACAAAACACTACCCTTCAAAGCTTGAAGCTGTGGGGTAACCAATGGGATTCCAGTGCTTGCGAGGTATGAAGCGATTTATGAAAAAACCCAGTTCGTCTTGCATTACAGGTTCGGCTTATGCAAATATCCACCTCTCTAGGTCTACAATGCTCTTCAAACAAGTAATGGTGACAAGAACTCCAAGCCTAGATTCTCTGCTTCCGATCTGGATGTGGCCTTCTACACTGTTTCTGGTGTGATGCACGTAGCTCATCAAGACTCTGACAAGTAAACACATAGTCCTTCTTAATACATTGCAGATATTATTCTCAGTCAGACCAAGAACAGGGGCGAAACAGCTTGCAAGTGCGTGAGGCGTCTATATTGCATCCGAAAAAGAATCCCGTCTATGGTACAAAATCACCTTCTAATGATGTATGTGACCGTGCTCGTCAATAGACTTGACGTTCAGAGCGAACACTTTCAAAGCATCTGCTTCCAAAAAGTGCATATTCCCAGCAAGGACGAGTGAATGTAAAGGAGGTCCAAAGTCGGCATTCAATAACTCTGACAGGGTACCTGATACGATGCGTTGGTTGGACGCTCCTACACGTGCGAGTCCGACTGCTATGGTGTTTGCTCCACAAACTAGTTGAGAGCGTCCAAAAGTCAGTTACGTTTGTCTATCGTTGCACGAGGAGGGCTTTTTTTGGCACTTACCACCCTCACCCCTCTTTTCTTCAATCTCTAAAAGTTGAGCAACCGCGAGATTCACAGACATGTATCGTGGTGGTTCGTATATCTTGCGTCCTCTATTGAAAGCATGAGAGCGAAATCACCAAAAAATGATATCGACCACAGAACCTATAATATACCTAGCCATATTCTCTATACTCTGCTCCTTGACCTTGATATCCAGCAAACACAATGTATGTAGTCCCAAACTTTGATTGCCCTTGATCTTTTCATAGAACGAGTCTGGCCTCCAGTCGTCTTGGAAGTATACAATCGAAACAGTTGCTCCATAGTTGTATAGCTGTAGTCCACATGCTCCTACAGCGTTCATTATCGACGCATTGTGTATAGCCATTGTCGGTATGTTCCTTTCACGTGCCCGTAACATGAGATCAGTGTGTGTCGTGGCACTTCAAGAATTGAAGGGTGTGAAAAAGTGTGTGATTTGTCTTTGTGTGAGCGAGATACTTACCCAAATGGATCTCCTACTACGAGAAAAGCTACATCGATCTTGTCTGCACCGTCCAGTATGGTGTCTGCTTCGGATTCAACCATTTCTCTGTCGGCAATGACGATAGGCTTGCCATAAAACTCTTCCTAGCAAAGCAGGGAGCAAAGTATTAGTCCAAACATCTTGATACCATTCAGAGACACATGAATTCCAATAATAGATCCAGATACGCCGCGTGGGTTTGATCTCGTAACAAGCAGTAAAAAAACGTTGATGTGCGAGACCAGCACGCGGAAATCACGTTCCGTAACGTGTCAAATTATATGCCATACTAATATAGTTTTCTCGACTAGCAGTATGCTCGTATAAGCTTCCAAATAAACGCGTTCACATTTCTTGATTGCCTCAAGCCCTTTCACAGTGACATCCTTTTCATCGGCTAGTCCAAGACCGACTACGTAGAGCATGGTCCAAATGGTCTAGTTAAGGGCTACACAGCTAGCTTAGAGAGTTTCCTTTTCGCTGTACGAGCTCCTAGACTCAAGATGCCGGATGTGCAGGGACTTGAAAACACGCAACAGTGGACATACATCCATTACAAGACCATTCTTGTAGCAGGAGTGGGCTTTTTCTTGGACGCCTATGATCGTATGTCGTTGTCGTGATCGTGTTTATCGATGTGATTTATGATCATCTAATATTGCCTGCAACATTTGATCTGTAGTGTTTATCATGTGAGAGGAAACGCGTCAGTACGCTGGAGAGCGCTCCTGAATTCATTTTTCTACTTTCTACCTAGAAATCTTGCCATGCCGATGATTTCCTACGTGTACTTTGAGGGACAGAGTACGTGAATAGCTCGCTCGTTCATCAGGCTGTCTACTTCATCCCTTTGCTTACTATATCGTCTCTTTTCTGACCAAACAATTCCATTCTCAAAAAGTACCTTCGAGCCTGGATTCAGCCATCAAAGGAGCTGCCACGTTTGGAACTTTGATCGGGCAACTCACGTTTGGCTACTTGGCTGATAAACTTGGGAGGAAGCGCATCTACGGAACTGAACTCATGATCATCTTTATTGCGACTGTGGGATCTGCATTGTCAGCCAACTTTGCCCGTGGTTCTGGCATTGCTGGATTACTCTTCGTTTGGAGACTCATATTGGGGTTCGGAATTGGTGGAGATTATCCATTAAGTGGTGGGTACCTGTGGGTTAACGGATACAATGGTTTACTTTAAACTGAACCTCGTATTCGTGTGCAATTTAGCAACAATCACATCCGAGTTTGCTAATAAACATAATCGAGGAATGATGATTGCAATTGTGTTTGCGAATCAAGGAACTGGAATCCTGATTGCAGCACTAGTGGCAGTAATGTCTCTTGCCAGCTACTCTGCACGCATTCGAACCGACCTTCTGTATCTCGATGATGTGTGGAGAATATGTCTGGTAGTAACCATCCGTCCTGTTACCTGGAATTTTTTTTGCTCATGTATTTTGATCCTTAGGGATTTGGTGCCATTCCTGCTCTAGCTACCATCTACTTCCGACTTACAATGCCAGAATCGCCTCGATATGCTGCTCATGTAGCCCAGAATACTGAATGTGGGACGTCGTCCTTACATGAAACCAGTCAGCCTCTTCATAAGAGTATTCGACAGTCTGAAGACGCCGAGAGTGAAGATGAAGATATCTTTGATGCCGCCAATACATTGAACGATACCCTCTCGTCAAGTCAACCCTTCCTAGAATACTTTCGGCAATGGCGAAATCTCAAAGTGCTGCTGGGGTGTTGTTTGACTTGGTGTAAGCGAGAATGAATGATGTTTTTTCCCTCTATCATCGTGTGTTAACCCCATTTTTCGCCCAAAGTTTGCTTGGATGTTGCATTCTATGGAATACAACTCAATCAGAGCATCGTGTTGCAAGCTATCGGGTACGGAACAGGCAAGGAACCATTTGATGACTTGTGGCATCGAGCCATCGGAAATCTTGTCATTTCTTTGCTAGGAACTGGTATTACATGTCCTTGCATCTCTGTGAGGCTCAAATTCAAACTGAATGACACCAACCTTTTCTAGTTCCAGGATACTGGGCCTCGGTGTTTCTGATTGAAAAGCTCGGTCGAAAGACTATACAACTGATTGGATTTGCGGCGCTAGCAGTGTGTCTCTTTATCCTCTCTATTGGGTATAATGTAATCTTGTCTCTTTCGACAGGCTTGTTTGTGGTCATTTATACCATTGCACAGTTCTTTTTCAACGTGAGTAATGAACGTGGCTTAGGCTGACTTGCCGTTGCTGACAACTCCTTTCGCTAGTTCGGACCGAATACGACAACATTTGTGCTCCCTTCCGAGGTCTTCCCTACACAATTTCGGGCGCAAGCGCATGGTATATCAGCAGCAAGTGGGAAGTTGGGTGCTATTTTAGGTGCCTTTCTATTTGGTATGTCGATACAATTGCTCTTTGAAGTTAGACCCTGACTTTGACAGATAAGTTTCTTTTAGGTCCATTGAAAGACATTGGTGGGCATAACGCGGCTCTCCCATCATTACTTTTTGTCTTTGCCCTCTTCATGTGCATGGGTTTCATATTCACGTTGTGGCTGCCTGAAACAGCAGGCAAAACATTAGAAGATATTACGCTTGATCGAGATCAAGGGAATCGTGAAGACAGTCTGATGGAAATCTGGAATTTGTTTAGGGATAAGGTATACCTGAGCCGGCACCCAGCGAATGATGCCATCCAGCTTCATTCTGCAGCAGAGTTTTAGATTCATAAATTGTAAGATGCAGTGCATGGATATATCTTTTTGTAGATTAATTAGTACATACATACAATATCTGAAAAAAGTCGGCAGACCGGAATTTTGATGTTTCGCGAGACCGCAAAACACGGAATCAGTTCATCGAATATAAGTATATCCAGCTGCGTATATTATGATTTACAGGGTTTATCTCAATCCCACTCATCATCCGCAACACCTTGGGCTTTGTCTTGTGGCAAGACGTCGTCTTTTGCTTCCAATTGAGCTTGCTCCCACATGGCCTTCATAGACGCCGCCTTTTGCTCAGCGGCAGTCATTTCTCGGACCATATTTTTCGCTTTGATCTGCCCTGGCTTTACGGCGTCTGGTGGTGCTTGAGACACTACAAGAAAAGACGGTAAAAAATCACTTTCTGACCACAAATCTACAATAGCATTGTACAAGACTTACGTGGCGTCATGTCTGATGGAGCTAAAGACACAAATTTCCATTCATAGTTTTGACCTGAAGCCCATTGTTCAGCTGATAACAAAGGTGTAGTAGTATCTCGGATTGGAGGGTATAAGTCATCTTGAAAGTATTCCTAATACGTGCGCAGAGAGTCAGACTTTTACCCCAAATTACTGTTCAGAGGTGTATACTCTACCTTTTTCAGACGTGGCACCGTGAAACTAATACTTTCAACACCCGTCTGTGTCAGGCGGAACCCTTTAACCATTTCAACTGCCTTCACATCAACAGTTCTTGGCGGAAGATATGCAACACCTTGGGATATGCCAGGTGCATCATATCGAGTCAAGAAAGTACATGAATCCCCAACCTCGAACATTGTCACATACGTCTCGCCACGTCCTACTAAATATAACACAGGTTCATTATATAGGACAGCGAATAAGGATGGGCTGGTGTCAACGACGGTCGTCGACAATGGCGAAGACAAGGATGATGTCGAGTAGATATTGATCTCTCGTTGAGACCCTCTTCCAAAGCCTAAAGATACGAGACGACCAGAGTCACCGAGGAAGACGATTCGGGCACCTTTAATGCCATCATGCGATGGACCCTCTTGAAGCTGCTTTCCACTACGAGCATCAAATATCCTAATCTTCTTATCACGACAGCACGTTGCGATTTGCGTACCGTCCCAACTCCAACAACATGCTAAGATTTGATCTGGGTGTGCTAAACTACTAATTACGGATTCAGTGACAAGATTCCAGATCTTGACTGCCGGAGTTCCCCGTTCTGGTGAAGATGTCAATATTACATCCTTCGCAGCAGGGTGAAACACAAGGTGGACGACTCGATTTTCATGTGCTGAGAAGCGAGATTGTGGTGTTGCTTCGTCATCTTCACCTTGTAAACCACCAGATGGTACTTTCCATATTCTCACCTTGCCATCATCACATCCCGTTACTATTCTCGATGAATCAAAAGGGTCGAAGGAGAAACTGGTGAGGTCGGAACCTCCAACAAAGCAGGGTAATCTGTTGGGTAATCTACACGGTTTGGTTGCATCTATGACAGCTAGTCTCCCGCCATTTCCTGCCATTGGAAAGCAGATAAAGTCTTCATTCGCGTCAATCATCTCTGCTTCAAATGGTACATTTGTGGCCAAGCCTTTGAGGTCTTCAAACTTTAATGCGCTCTTTCCTGTCAAGAACCTGTACGAGCTCGTCTTCATGGCAATGAAGCCCTTTCGGCCACTTGATGTTGAGTTTATAGATGATTCGGAGCCAGATCTAGTCATACGACTCGCAAGATCTGGGTTCAATGCTAAAGGACTACTGATTACGGGAGACGTTACTACAGGGGAAGACGATATCGGGGATGCCACAGTATCTGAAGGCATTTGCTTCGAGAAGAGGGTTGTCACGGTGGGTGGAGCTGACGACGTGGAGGAAGTAGAGACACTTTGTTGACTTTTATAGGGTTGGCTTGTGGCGGTGGCGGAGACAGCGTTACGAGGGTCTAAAGATATTTTGGTACATTCCTTGTTCTCACCAGCAAACCATTGAGTTGAGGAGAGTGCTGGGATATCTGACTTGGTCAAGGGAAAGATATCTACACAACCAAAATGTTGGCATACTTAGCTATTCTATTAAAGTAGACTCTGACTTACCGCCAGCAAAATCGATGTATGAGCGTCTCGGTACCTTGAATGAGACAGGCACTATACTGAGACCATCACTAGTGGCGAGAAGAAGTCTAGCAACTTCACACTGCAATACGTCCAAAGAGTACTTGGGAATAAGCGTAGCTGCTGCATATGGTGTTGGGAGGATCGTTGGTTGTCCTGGAGGCATAAGCCATGGATCTGAGTCCTTTGTTTCCATCCAATTGATACGTGTGTCGCCTTTTCCAACGATGACCAATATGCTCGTGTCCACATCGTAAAGTGGGATCAAAGGACCTGTACCTTGGTCCATTTTCACAACTGTGGCAGCCTTTTCCGGTTTTCTTATATCATAAAGCCCATATTCTCTATCCCTAAACCTACTAAATCCAGTACTAGCAATCTGATCTGACGATCCCAACCATACTGCCCTTCCGGGCTTGACTCCGTCGTGAATTTTACAAGAAGCGACGATCTTTGCACCAGCACGTGGATCATAGACTCTAACAATATTATCCTTGGCTGTTGTAACAAACAGGGAACCATCATCCTTCCATGATAACGAGTTGACTAGAGCACCGTCATTGTCAAACGTTATTCGCTTTGTTGTAGATTCCAAATTCCAAAGCGAGATTTCAGAATTCGATGCACTGGAGAGTACGTCTGAAGCAGTTGGATGAAAACGAACCACATCAACCCTCTTCTGTGACCTAGACACGAAAAAATTCCAAATGTTAGTGTGAGCTGTCAAGGTTGTATCGTAGATCAAGCAAAATCGTCTTATGAATGATTCTTCGTATCTCCTTACGGTGGTAGTGATGTTGTTGATGAGGAAGTATTGTCACTAATGCCTTCAGGTGGTAGCTGGAAGACGCGAACAGATCCGTCATCGTGGCCAACAGCGAGCAAGCCGTGATTGAATGGCGAAAAATCCAGGTCGATAACCACACTACTGAGACTTAGAGTTGGAGTGGAAGCCAAACGGCCAGTAGAGCTTAGTGGAATAATAGCGACTGAAGATCCTCCTGCAACGAAATAAGGTGGTTACGACACGATAGCGCAACAAATCGTAAATGTTGATGATACATTTGCCAATGTTGATCATTACATGTTTCAAGACGACTATCCGATACAGAACGATCTCTGCTCAAAATCACGGATTTTTGATACGAGCAACTTACCTCCGGCTTGTAGTTTGGTCGCAATCAGCGTTTTACTTGAACATATCGGCACATAGTCAGTGGACGTGAATACCGACGATGTTTGAAATTGATACCAGTTTTCTTTGGAAGCTGGCGTGACTGTACTGTTTCTGTACTTGGACACTGCTGCTCTCCATGCCATGGCTGCGAATCGAAAAGTGGTGGTTGCAAGATTGTTTGAGGTAGCGTTCCTGCCTTTCAGTGACATTCGCGTTCATTGTCAAGTTCAACGCTTAGAGTAGCTTGATTTATTGATATTGATATGCTAGTGATTATTGATAAGTGATATTATTGGACGCCTGATTCTCAAGCCTAGACCAATGTTGGTTGAGTGTTGAAGCTACTGGACGTGTTTCTCCTGAGTTGGCATCGTGGCGGCAGCAAAGACTCATTCTGCTTTGCTTCACAACGCGTAATTGCTTCACTTGTCACTGGCAGTCCCGAAACTTCTTCCAACTCCAAACCTAACAAAAGTCGTCAGGTCGCATTACGGAACAACAAGAAGAACTTCCTTGCCGTTACGGGCATGTATGGAATCTATGACAGCACGACCAGAACTGCCTTGCAACTACAATGTCAAGGCTGTTTGCTGGACGGGGATTCTGGTACTAACGCAGGTCATGTTATGGAAGCTGCTAATTCAAGAGTAGGCTCGCACCGGAGCGGTAATAATTATCTGAAACATTTTGGAGGATGCTCTTTCACCATTCAGAAGTTCAAACGCCCGTTTGAAGGACCTCGAGCAAGCATCAGTCTGCTCCTTCATAGCACCAACAGAGCAGAGAAAAGCTTATTCTTAGATCCTCCAAACGACAGTCTGAATTCAATTGGGCGATTTGAATATTGAGGCCTATCGCAACAGGGTTTTAGCTCAATCAGCCTGTTATAGTAGATCCTTAGAGAAGAATGCCGGGATGCAAGTGGCCATGTAAAGGATCGATAGGTTGAGAGTATGGCCGGTCCAACCTTGAGAATTCTTTATGGCGATACTGATAGCTGAGATATTCATGTACTCTCTGAAATCCACTCTTGAAAACTACAAAGATGAAGATGGTTCGTTGGCGTTCTTTTCGAATGAAAAATATGCCTAGTAGTAATCATGGCGTGTAGGAAACAGATTCATCTGGCAGATAGTACTTCCTATAGAGTAACCGTTTTGGCGAGCGCATCACGAGTCATGACGTTGTGGTCCAGAAACAATACCTACTAGCGATAGCTACGTTTACTCTAACATATCTCTGTCTGTCTTATTGTCACCCAATGATTATAATGCGACTCCCTTGCATCGCAAATGTTGGAGAAAAGCCACAAAACCAAAGTACGATTTCGAAACACAAGACACCAGTCGTTTCTCCAAGGTACTCGAGATTCTGGTCGATAAGGCCGTTTCCAATAACAGATTTGATAATGCTTGCGGTTTCAGAATTGAAGTACAATATGCCTAATTGTGTTGTTTCATAGCAGGACAATTCCAGATTTTGCCGCAATCAAAAAAATTCTGATTTTAACTGAAGCAGGCTGTATGCAATCTGCAGGGATCAAAATTACCTTTTGGTCTTTGCGACTAGGCTGTCGTTGGTGGGCACGTCACATAGTTCAATCAATCGACATTGTTCATCACAGAAAGTACTAAATAGTTTCCAGCAACTGACCATTCAAAGATTATACCGGTCAACTTCGTCTTATCACATAAATACAGTCTACATAGATCAAGCGCTTACATGGCGATCAGAATTGGGCCAGAAACTCCCCGAAAACTCTCTCTTTTAGCGATTCCTATGCAGCCATTTTGTCGACGATGCAGTCTGTTGGTCACAATAAGACAGGCTCGCCTCAAGATAGAAAGAACCAGCCTACTATCGTTCTAGCGCAACGTCGGGAGATCCTGGTGAGATGTTAGTGTCTGAGTCACAGATTGGAAGGCACTAAATCGTTCCATTTTCAAAATCCAGTCCAACTTGCCGGGCAATCTCAACTTTAGCAATTCAAGGGGCCCAGCAGCTGATACTTGGGCCTCACATGAATATTCCAGAGCTCGTCCATATGATGTGCAGAAATCTAGTTGTAAACCATACATATCGACAAGGTCAAGCAACGTGTTCTGGCGACGAGCCTGGTGCATGGATCACAACTGAGGCTTTGTACTTGAGATCACAGTCAGGGGCCATCTATCTCTTCACATCGCTTACTTTGCAGCTCGTTGGAGTAGGTTCTCTACCTCAATCATTGATGTCAGTGTTTTTCCAAACAGGTGATTATGTTGCAAAGCGACCAGAGTGTACGTGAAGGCCAAAAGAAGCACTGGTGGGACAAATATATTTCCTTGAGGTTCTGATCACGTTCTTTTGGCTTCTGTTCGATGATGTATGTCTTCGACCCAATTTATTTAGTTCGTTTTCAATGGCAAGCTTGTCCATCCCATGAGATTCATGGTAGCGTGAGCAATTCACGTTATTTGATGCGTGCTGAAGCGGCTTTCTTCGATACCACTTTCCTTCTATACTGCAAACCAGCATGTCTGTTACAAGTGTTTGGTTGATTTGCCATCATATATCAGTGGACGGTCGATTTAGATTGTATAGCGACAGCAGTAGCATCATCACCAAACTGGCAGTCTGTGATCCTCGTTTTGCTGCTATAACATCTAGGAAATCCATCCACATCGTTGACGTGACCTGCTCGTGCTGCTGCAAGTCAAAATTCGAATAACGTCTCAACCAAAACCGAATATTTTGGTTAAAACGCGTGTATTTTCCATCGCTCGTACTTATAAACGAGCTTTGAGATCCTAAGATTGTGCTTCTGCGATTCCTCTATAGTAGGTTTACATTCGTTCTTGGATAAACGGAAACAAAAATGTCCAAAGGATCCCAAAGCAGATCCGTATCTATGACATGTATCCTGAGACGCTTTTGGCTCCTTTACATCGTGATTGCAAAACATCCCAGACTGTTGCTTTTCCTCATCGTGACCCATCAACCCTTGGCTCGCATAGGCGAATAGAAGGATACCGTGTAGGCGATTCTTGAGGAATGGCCATAGATTTCGATATGACGTGCTGGTGGTGTTGGAAGCGGCTAATCGTCGTGAGTAGTAGTTGGTGTTTGGAATAAGCCAATTTCACAGCTGCGACTGGTCGATCGGATAGTACCTTCATAAGAATATTTTCTACCTATTAGGAGAAAAGTATGATTAATCCAGTTATTGAGCTTGAACTTTAAGACTGCAAGACTGCCACACGAGACACGTCACCTCAAGTAGGAAACAGTGACTCTTCTCAAAAGACGTGCTTTCTTTGCAAATCTGTTCAAAAATAGAGCTTTATTGGCTTTATTTCATATACGTCTATAGTGTAAGAAGAATCAAATTGGGTCAACTATGGGCAAAATGTACTAGCACAGCATGTGCGGTTCCAAATGTGGCGCGACCCGGGAATTTGCTAGCTGGTACCAAAGCCATTCTTCACGTGGTGTCCGTGTCTTCTAGAAGGTGTTTCAAACCTTCCTTTAAATCCGTTGGTCGTGAGGTGCTCGTCAGATAGCAGTTTGTATCATTGTGTCATATTTAAACACACAGACACGACCAAACCACCACAGAATAATAAGCGGTCGGTCCTGTTTAACTACAAATAAACAACCTTGACTCCATTTATGAGCAGAATATGGGGCTAAATTGACGAGAAAGTTGGGAAGCGTGACATACTGGTGCATTACGTTCGAGAGTGTGAAAGGTATGTTCTTGAAGTCCGAAACAGATATATGCCTGATTCCATGTAAACTGAATCAATTGTAAGTAACAAAATCGATACCTCACAAAACTTTGTTTCAGCATAACGTAAATATCACCTACCTACCTCTAAGACAACACTTTCACCACGAAACAACGATTGCCAGCTATATCGTAGATTTCTGTAACCGTCCGATGTCAGAAACCCATGGCAAGCTGAAAAGAGATGTGCAGAATGTGAAGTGGCATTGATGGTTCTCGAGCTCTCATACCAAATAGACTTGCAACGGTCCCATTGTTTCTGTTCAATTTGCGGCATCGAACTTGCACTGGGAAGATCACGATTCTTATTACCAGCGGACTGTCTTCAAGCTCCTCGGAGCTCAGTCTTCATCTTCATCAGCAAACGCGAAATGTGACGATTCATAACCGGCCACCTTCAATTTCGTATGAAGCAAAACAGAATCCATTATTCGTCCGTGACATTATTGCATGGGAGTCATGTTAGTAAGGAGAGGCAGACTATTCAGTGAATGATGATCAGATGCACATTAACCCTTTAAGTCGTGATCGAAACGACAGTTGGAGCCTTGAGCAAGGTCAAATAAAATTCATGGACCCAATGGGCTTCTCTTGGTGAGCAATCCCGACCAAAGTTAACCTTACTGTTGGCGCTGTCGAAGATCATGATCTAGGATCCAAATGCATAAAGAAGAACAAAACAGCTATGCCGTCGAGTCATCTAAGCCTTCGTAGTGTTCTTCTTACAGTTTGGTAATCGTTCTCCAAAACCATATGATCGATGAGTAGGTGTCACGTGGTGAAGAAGAAGGCTTAACACCTCTCATTCTGGAAAAAAGAGTAGATATTGGATATCCTGGTAGGTAAAAGTCATGACGTGGTGATATAGACGAGCAGCAAATCGAACTCAATATTGTCGCAATAATGGTACTTTGTTCACAGTAGTTAAGCGCTTGGTAGATAGGAATGTAGTGCTTGTTTCGATAACCGCTAGTTTCATCATGAACTGAGGTAGATGAAATAGAATAAATGGATGTATTGGTTTGCAAAATGATGACCTCGAGTTTACATATGGTTTGGTAGGTCATGATGTCCTTTCTCCGACGTCACGACAGCCCAACGGAGCGATATTCGTTAGTATCAGTACCAGAACGATAAACAAAGACAAAACAAAGGCAATTTGTTTAGCCAAATACCACGTATTGTTTGGCGGAAATTCCGTCAGCATCAGTGCCAATCTTTCAACATGTATTGAACATACACAAGCCTAGAAAGTGTAGGACTTGAGTGCCATCAGTCGTCATAGCAGAGAAGCTGATCTGAAACTCCACCTAGAAGCGATGAGATTCAAGTCAGTATGATGCAATATGGCCACCATTAAGAGTGGGATAAAGA